AGGGCTACAGAGAAACGGACCTATGTTAATGTCAGATGGAGAAACTGAAGCACATTGACTTTGTTTTGGTTTCGTTTTGATTTCTGGGCTATACCTGGTGGTGCCCAGGGCTTACTCCTGGCAGGGTTTAGGGTGTCAGGGATTAAGTCTGGGTTGGCCAACGTGCAAGGCAAACACCCTCCCTGTTGCACTATCTCTCCAGCCTCAGAAAAGCACATTTGCAGAGGACAGAATGAGACCACTGTTGTAGTAGGATGGGTATAAGCCACAGAGAGCCTGGGGAAGAGCTTTCTAGGCTCCAGCAGGCTGTGCAAAGGTCCTGGAGCTCATACCTGGTGAATTGTAGGAGATGTGGGACCAGAGCGATAGGGGAGAGGAAAAGTAAGATGTGCCTTGTGTGGGTAAACTCTCACTTTTTTTTTTTTTTGTTCCTTGGCTGGCTTCATAATCATTTTAATTTTTTTCTGGTGCCACGGTTTAAACACGGGTCTCATACATATGAGGCCCTGGCAGCCCTGCTCCACCCAATGGTTGTTGGGGGCTGGAGAGATCTTATCTTGCGGACTGGGCTTTGGATGCTGGAGGCCCAGTGTCCATTCCCTGCCCTGCCTCACCCCCCCAAGCACCCCTGGGAGCGATGTCCCCACAGTCCCCCCCCCCCCCACAACCTCAGATAACAGACAGGAGTAGCTTCTGAACACTCCCAGATGTGACCCTAAAATCAACAATAATAAAAATGTTTTTTTTGCTTTTTGGGGTCTGGCGATGCTCAGAGGTTACTCCTGGCTCTGCACTCAGGAATTACCCCTGGCGGTGCTCAGAGGACCATATGGGATGGTGGAAATCGAACCTGGGTCAGCTGCGGGCAAGGCAAATGCCCTACCCACGCTGCTATCGCTCCAGGCCCAATTTTTTTTTTTTGAGGCTACACCCAGTGGTGCTCAGGGCTGTGCTCAGACTCCTGGCTCTGTGCTCAGGGATTGAACTGGGGTACCAGGGATCAAATCTGAGTTGGTTGTATGCAAAGCAAACAACCCTCTTTTGTCTCCTATTGCTCCGGCCCCCTAAGAATGATTGGGGGGCAGGGGCAGAACAATAATAAACAGATGGGCATTTGCTTTGCTTGTGGCTGACCCGGGTTTGATCCCTGTCATCTCACAGGGTCCCTCAAGCACTGCCGTCGAGAGTAATTCCTGAGTGCAATGCCAGGAGTAACCCAGGAGCATTGCTAGGTATGACCCAAAAAGCCAAAATAATTAAAGCAAAGAATGGTTTGGGCAGGTTCGATTCCCAGCATCCCATACGGTCACCTGAGCATTGCCGGGTGTGACCCAAAAAGCAAAGAAAAAGAAACATGGAGGGGCTGGAGCGATAGCACAGTGGGTAGGGCATTTGCCTTGCACGTGGCTGACCCGGGTTCTATTCCCAGCATCCCATATGGTCCCCTGAGCACTGCCAAGAGTAATTGCTGAGTGCATGAGCCAGGAGTGACCTTTGTGCATTGCCGGGTGTGACCCCCCCCCAAAAAACATTGAATCTACAGAGAGTGGGCGGGCACAGAGGAATTCCTAGAAGTTTCAGTTTGGATCCCTTGCACGGAGATCCAAGCAGTGTCCTTGCATGGTCTCATCTCTGCCGATAAGGCTGGCGGTCATCTCTGAGACTGGGCTGAATGTTTCACTTTAAAATGGTTTGGTGGGGCTGGAGCGATAGCACAGCGGATAGGGTGTTTGCACGCGGCCAACCCGGGTTCGATTCCCAGCATCCCATATAGTCACCCGAGCACCTTCAGGGGTAATTCCTGAGTGCATGAGCCAGGAGTAATCCCTGTGCATTGCCGGGTGTGACCCAAAAAGCAAAAAATAAATAAATAAAATTAAATATAAAAAAATGTTTTGGTGCTTGCAGGACCGACTCCTGATTTCAGGAGCAAAGTGGCCCGTTCAGCCAAGGCTGTGGTCTGGATGCCCTCTAAGGCCTTCAAAGTCACACAGGAGGGAGACAGCAGGGGATGAGCCTCACGCATGGCTGACCCAGGTTGAGCCTTGCCACCACACGGGGTCCCCTGAGAGCAAGAATTTTGGGGAATGAGCCCTGAGCACAGGGCCAGAAGTAGACCAGGAGCACCCCTGGGTGTGGCCCACATCTCCCAAACAGAAAAGCCTGTGAGTCTTAGCACAGTGAGAAGAGAGTTGGCTTTGCACACGGCCAAGCCAGGTTCAATCCCCGGCATCCCATCGGGTTACCCCGGGCCTGTCAGGGGTGATCTGCGAGTGCAGAGCCAGGAGGAACCCCTGAGCACTGCTGGTTGTCGCCCTCTGAAAAAAGTGGCTGTGGAATGAGGGAGTCTGGCCGTGGCTGCCGGAACAGATAAGGGTGGTATTTGCAGTGCAGATACCCACAGCCCAGCCGGGAGTGATAGAAATATCCAAATGGGGGCCGGAGTGATAACAACAGGAGGGTGGTTGCGGGGTCTGTGCCCGACTGGGTTCGATTCCTGGCACCCTGTGGTCCCTGAGTACAGAGCCAGGAGTAAGCCTGAGCATCACTGGGTGTGGACCCAGCCACCAAAAAAAAAAAAAAAAACTGCTGGTTTTTTTGGTGTGTGTTGTTTTTCTTTTTGGGTTACACCCAGATGGGATGCCGGGAAGGGGATTGAGCCATCCTTGTGCAAGGCAACCACCCTCCCGCTATACTACCACTCTGATCCCAAGTTTGCTAGTTTTCTTTTTTTTTTTCTTTTTGGGTTATACCCGGCAATGCACAGGGGTTACTCCTGGCTTATGCACTCAGGAATTACCCCTAGCGGTGCCCTGGGGACCATATGGGATGCTGGGAATCGAACCCGGGTTGGCTGTGTGCAGGGCAAATGCCCTACCTGCCATGTTATCACTCCAGCCCCAAGTCTGCTAGTTTTTAACAGGGAAGGGAGGTGGCACTTTTCACCTGGCTTTACCCACACAAAGGTGGACCCAGGACCCAGCCATGGTCGAATACCCCCACCCCCCACCTCGCCTCAAAGGTGCGGCCGGACCTTGAGGAGATTCTGGGTGCTGCGGCCCCATTCTCACCCTTCCAATTTAGGGTTTCAGGATGTAGCCTGCATTTAAAATCAAATTAAAACTAAACAAATGCAGGCTCAGGGCTGGGGGCATTGGGTCAGGGGCAGAGAAAGGTCTAGGCTTGTCCTGGCTTCCACTTCCCCTGCCCCCACACTGCAACTATATATATATATTTTTTTTTTTTTTTAAGAGAGAGATGGCTGGAGAGGGGCTGGAGCGATAGCACAGCAGTAGGGCGTTTGCCTTGCACGCAGCCAACATGGCCGGTCCGAGTTTGATTCCTCTGCCCCTCTCGGAGAGCCCGGCAAGCTACCGAGAGTATCTCGCCCGCATGGCAGAGCCTGGCAAGCTACCCGTGACGTACTCGATATGCCAAACACAGTAACAACAAGTCTCATGATGGAGAAGTTACTGGGCCCGCTCGAGCAAATCGATGGAGGGCCGTGATGATGGCTAGAGAGATAGGACAGCCGGGAGGGTGTGTGTCTTATATGTGGCCCCCTGGGTTCCATCTCCAGCATCCTATAGGGGGTCCCCCAGCCCACCAGGAAGGAGTGATCCCTGCTCCCATATGCTCCCTGAGCCAGGAGTCAGCCCTGAACATAGTTGGGTGTGGCCCCCAAAGTCATAAAAAAAATAGGGGGGAGGAATGAAAACCTCTCTGCTAGTCCTCCCACCTCTTTTCCTTAGCGTTTTGAATCTGTGGGCTTATTTATTTAATTTTTGCGGCGGGGGGGACACCCGCCTGTACTCAGGGGGTTACTCTTGGTTCAGTGCTCAGGAGTCACTCCCGGCAGTGCTCGGGGGACCCTGTGGGATGCTGAGGGTCGAACTGCCTGTAAGGCACATGCCCATCCCGCCAGACTGTGGTTCTGGCCCTTGCAGTTTGTTTTCATTGCACGTGCTGCAGAGGGCGTGCCTCAGTTTCCCTACTGGTGATGGGTGCTGGGTGGGGCAGGGTGGAGCTCCCCTCCCCACCCCCCAGCCTCGCTCCCCTATGGGGGCTGGGCCGGGCCGGGCTAAATCGGGTGCAGGGTGAGCGGCGGCGGCAGCTGCTGCCTCCAGCCTGGGCCCTCAGTGCCCCCCTGTCCAGGCCGGGCCGGGGCCTGGCCGGTCTGACCGGTTTGGGCCGCCCCGTCCGCCTCTCCCAGTGGGAGGAGCCTCGCCGGTCGTTCCGTCCCCCGGGAAGCCCGCGCGTCCCGGCTGAGACTCAGACTCGCCCGAGACTCGCCCGCCGCGAGCACAGCGACCCGAGCGCCCAGTGCACAGCGGCCGTCGGGGCTGGGGGCGCAGGGATGGGAGGCGAGCGGCAGAATTACTACGGGAAGCACGGTAGGCCCCCCACCTCAGCCCGGTCAGGGGGGACACTGGGAGGGGACAGCAGCAGGAAGGGACTGGGGAGTGTGCAGGAAGGGGGGTGCAGAGACACCCCCCAAGCGCCAGCGCTCACCCCACCTTCAGGGGCGCGGGGCTTCCCCAGCTCTCCCGTCCTTGGGTCCCCCAAACCTCCTGAGGGAGATTCTGGCTTCCGATTGCCCCTTTCCACCTTCCCTGTCCCCCTCCTGGGACCTCCATTCCCTAGGGAATTAAAAAAAAAGGTGAAGCATTTCTATTGGGGGGGGGCCAATGAAGCGCAAACTTGGCGGGTGCCTTTGGGTTGGTGAAAAGGGGGTGTGGGCGCCTGCACAGCTCCAGCCCTGGAGTCTGTACTCTTAGCAGCTCTCTCCCTGCTTTCCTGTGCCCCCCCCCACCTTCCTTGCTCAGACCCGGCTGGGGTGCGGTTGGGGTGCGGTTTCCCGTAGGTGGGGTGCTGCAGAAAAAATATCTGTGGGGTCTATAAATCCTGCTCCTTCAGAGTCTGGACCGTCTGGGCATTGGGGGAGGCACTGTCTCCCGCCAATCGCTGAGGCTCAGGCTTGGTTCTTGCTGATTCCTCAGGAACCCCGCAGAAGTATGACCCAACCTTCAAAGGACCCATTTATAACAGGTAAGGGGGGTGCTGGGGGTGGCATGGGGGGCTGGTTTCTGCCAGGACTGCCCCCAGCCCAATTGCTTGCCTCGGAACCAAGCTCCTTCTTGGTCCCAGAATGATGGAATGACTAATTTCCTCAACATTCCAAGAATCTTGACTGAGGAAGTTTGAACATTCTGGAAAAAGGTTAGATAGGGGCTCTGCTCCGTGTGTGTGTGTGTGTCTGTGTGTGGTAATGGTCACCCCCCCCCCCCAAGGAATGTCATTTAAAACTTATGGGGATGGGGGGGTACCTCCTTGCTTCTATTTTCTGGGTCAGAGACAGACCCTGGACCCAGCTTCATCCTGTTATCTTGACATGGATGAGCAGAAACTTCAGACCACTTAAATTCTGTGCAGTGGGCTAGAGCATTTTCCTCGCACGTACATCGGGGCAGGCATTTGCCTTGCACATGGCCGACCCGGGTTCTATCCCCGGCACCATTTAGGGTTCTCCGAGCCCCTCCAGGAGTGACTCTTGAGGACAGAGACTGGAGGAAGCCCTGAGCACCTCTGGGTGTGGCCCCCAAACCTAAAAAGAAGTGAAAAGAAAAACCTAAAGTATCAGCAGGGCTGGAGCACAGCTCTGTGGGTGGGGGCCCCGGGTTCCATCCCCGCCATGCATGGTGCATACGCTGAGCTAAAGGGAGCCCCGGACACCACCATGTGTGGCCCCCCCAACTGCAGTGCCAGACAGACCCGATAAAAGCCGCCATGGATGGAACTTGGCCAGCCTAGGGGGGCAGAGTTCGAGAGATTGGCGTGCTCGGGAATAAGGGCATGTGCCTCCGTCCTGGGGAGCTCTGTATGGAGCTGGGGCAAGACACCCCCCCCAAATGCTGCTGGGACATTTCTGCTTTATCTTATTTTGTTTGGTATGGTTTTGGGGCCACACCCGGTAGTGCTCAGGGCTTCCTACTGGCTCTGTACTTAGGGATCATTCCTGGCAGTTCTCAGGGGACCATCTGGGGTGCTGGTCATTTTGGAAGTACCCCTGGCAATGCTCGTGGAACCCTGTGGAGTAACAGAGATGGAACCCAGGTTGGCCTGTGCAAGGCAGGCGCCTTCCCTGCTGTCCTATCCTTCCGGCCCCTTTGTTTATTTTTTACAGTGGAATGCCCTCCCCCACAGAGCCGGGGTCCCTTTGTCTTGTCAAGTCTTCCCAAATAGACGATTTCCGTCACTGAATACATTTTGTCCCTGGCACATCTGTCCTTTATTTATCACAGGGATGTGACAGCTAAGAACTTAGCAGGGAGGAACAGTTGGTCTCACTGGCCAGGTTCTATGTCGTTGTTGATTTGGGGGGCCACCCTGGCAATGCTTAGGGTTTATTCTTGGCTCTGTACTTGGGGGTCACTTCTGGTATCTAAATATCACCAGGGCTGGCATCAGGCTGGGCTGCATGCAAGGCAAGTACCTTCTCTGCTATACTCAGGCCCCTTCTCTTTATTTATCAATTTGGTGCCCTGAAGATCACACACGGGCCCCATTCATTCCCACTAGGGATGTGTTTGACCACTGAGCCACTTTTTTTTTTGCCTTTTGGGTCACACCCAGATTGCTCAGTGGTCACCCCTGGCTCTGCACTCAGGAATTACTCCTGGCGGTGCTTGGGGGACCATATGGGGTGCTGGGGATCGAACCCGGGTTGGCCACGTGCAAGGCAAACGCCCTACCTAGTGTGCTATCGCTCTGGCTCCATGAGCCCATTTTTGGCCCCCTAGGCCTTCCAGGCCATCTGAGTGATGACCTGCCTCCCTTACAACATCTCTAGACAAAGACTAGGTTTGGGGGCCCCATTCAGGAGTAATTGGGGGCTTCCTGTGGTTTGATGCTTTTGGAAATCTGTCAGCAGTTCTTAGGGACCAAGAAACGTGTGGGATTGAGCCTGGGACTCCCGCACGCACCCCTTCACCATCTCCCTGGCACCTCCTTTGTGATATCCGTGAAATGAACATGACCTGATATGGGGAGACTATCACTTCCTCCCCAGGGGCTGTACTGACGTCATCTGCTGTGTGTTCCTCCTCCTGGCCATCGTGGGTTATGTGGCTGTGGGCATTGTAGGTGAGTAGACGGACCCACGGCCCGGGGCTGAGACCCTGGGTTCAAAGTTCTGTCACAGCCCCTGGAATTGAAGTGTGTGTGTCCGCGGGGGGCGGGGGGGAAGGAGTGTTGGGGAGGGCAGTGCCTTACTGATCCCCAATCTCTCCACAGCCTGGACCCATGGGGACCCCCGGAAGGTGATCTATCCCACAGATAGCCGAGGGGAGTTCTGCGGCCAGAAAGGCACCAAAAACGCGTGAGTCTGGTTCTTTGAGGCTCGGGAGCTGGGGGGAGGGAGTGAGTCCTTCTCTCTGGCCCTTCCATCAGTGTCAACAGGAGTTAGAACACTTATAACTTTCATAACATTTATAACTTATATAGTGGCGAAATAGCACAGCAGGGAGGGCACGTGCTTTGTCTGTGGTTAACCGGGGCTCGATCCCCGGCATCCCATAGGACTGCCTGAGCACTGCCAGGTACAGTTCCTGAGCACAGAGCCAGGAGTCAGCCTTGGGCACCATTGGGTGTGGCCCCGGAGCAAATTCTTGTCGTAACTTCGTGTTAACGGAGACAATAAATATTGTTTTCTGGTGGCCGCATTGCAGGGGCAAGGGGGTTGGGCGCCATTCAGGAGCTGGTGTCTGGTGGTGACAAAGGGATGAAAATCAAAGAATGGGTTCTGGGCTAGACTCATAGTAGGGCATGATTCACTTTGTATGTGGCCGACCCGGTTTAATCCCCAGCACCCCAGAGGGTCCCCTGAGCACCACCAGGGCCAGGAGTCACACCTGAGCGTCACCAAGGGTGGGCCTCCCCACCACCAAAAATAAATAAATAAATAAATGGAGATTACAAAAGAGTGGGTTCAAAGCAGGCTGGGCCAGCCACTTCCTGGCTGTGTGAGCCCAGGCAGGCGTCTCAACCTCTCTGAGCCTGCGTGTCTTTTTGTCTCCCATGAGCTTGTTGCTGGTGAGCCAAGCCAGTAGGTGCCTGGAACTCAGAGCGGCCCTTGGCCTGGAGCAGCCTTCTGGGTGGGGAGTGATCAGGAGTCCCGGGTGCAGTTCCGAGGGTCAGTGCTCAAGGGAACAATGCGGGCCCAGCGACTCTGAGGGCCACCGTCAGGGCCACGCCCGGCACTCAGCGCCGGAGACTGATCTCAGCTTTGCACGGGCCGTCTAGCCCGTTGTTCGCACCATCATCCCAACCTCCTGTGCTTCGTACTGTTCTTGTTTTCTCTGACGGGCAGCTGGGGTGGGGGGCCCTTGGCAATTCCTGTCTCTGCACCCCCCCAGGAACAAACCCTTCCTGTTTTATTTCAACATCGTCAAGTGCGCCAGCCCCCTGGTCCTGCTGGAGTTCCAGTGCCCCACCCCCCAGGTACTGGGTGCCCATCCTCCGCGTCCTTCCCCTCCGCATTTTCTCCCCCAGGCCCTTGGTCCCCTGCACTGGGGAGCCGTTCCCCAGCATTTCCCAGCCCTGATGGGTCTGTCTTTTCCACGTGGGACAAAGCTCCAGCCCAGCCCTGAATTTCCTCTCCGGCCCCTCCCAGCCCTTTCAAGGGGGGGTGTGGGGGAGGCTTGTGAGATAGCACAGCGGGTACTTTGCACGTTTCTAAGCTGGGTTTGATCCCTGGGCACCCCTAAAGGGTCCCCTGAGCCCTGTCAGGAGTGACGCCTGAGCACTTTTTCTTTTCCCTTTCTCTCTTTCCTTTTTTCTTCTTTCCTTTCTTTCTTTCTCTCTTTCTCTCTTTCTTTCTTTCCTTTCTTTCTTTCTTTCTTTCTTTCTCTCTTTCTTTTCTTTGTCTGTTTATTTGTTTCTTTCTTTCTCTTTCCGTTCCTTCTCTTTCTTTCTTTCTTTCTTTCTTTCTTACATTCGTTCTTCGTTCTTGGGCCACACCCAGCAATATTTTGAACTTGCTCCTGGCTCTGTGCTCAGAAATCACTCCTGGCGGGGCTCAGGGGACCATCTAGGGTGTTGGGAATTGAACCCAAGTTGGCCATGTCTGAGGCATGTGCCCTACCCATTGGACTATCTCTCCGGCCCTGACTCCGTGCACCCTGTTCTGCTGCTCCCCCAGATCTGCGTAGAGAAATGCCCCGACCGGTACCTCACCTACATGAGTGCTCGCACCTCCCACACCACCATGGACTACTACAAGCAGTTCTGTGTCCCTGGTTTCCAGGGGAACAAGGTGAGCAGGCGCTGTCCTAGGAGGCCAGGGGTGGAGGCCCCACCCATTGTGGGGTGCTTAATTCCCTCCCTCTCTGTGAACAGCCTGTGGTTGAGGTGCTTCGAGATGGTGACTGCCCATCTGTCCTTACCCCCAGCAAACCCTGTGAGTGTGGGGTCCCGGGAGCTTGGCAGGGAGAAACGGGTACATGAGAGACTGCGGGGGCTCTACCTGACAACCCCGCACCCTTCCTGCTCCACGTAGTGGCCCGACGTTGCTTCCCGGACATCCATGCCCACAAGGGGGTCCTTATGGTCGGCAACGAGACAACATATGATGATGGACACGGTATCCGGAAGAATGTCACTGAGCTGGTGGAGGGTGCCAAGTGAGAACACCTCCCTCACAGACATGCCCGGGAGGGGGCTCCTCTGGGGGCAGATCCTAACACACGTGTGATCTCAGGGCAGTGGGGAGGGTGCTGGCCTTGCATCGGCAAACCCGGGTTTGAGCCCCGGCATCCCGGAGGGTCCCCCGAGCCCTGCCAGGAGTGATTTCAGAGCACAGAGCCTGGAGTCAGCCCCGAGAACCACTGGGGGTGACTCAAAAACCAAAACCCCCAAGTCTAACAAGCCCACGATGGTGCCTAGGAAGGCCAACGGGGTTCTGGAGGCGCGGCAGCTCGCCATGCGGATATTTGAGGATTACACAGTCTCCTGGTACTGGATCATCATGTAGGTGCCCACAACTGCCCTGTGGGAAGCCGGGGACGCTGGAGTCTGTTTCTTCACCCCAGATCCCTCCTCACTGCCTGTTTTCTATACCCCATAGTGGGCTGGTCATCGCCATGCTGCTCAGTCTCCTCTTCATCGTCCTGCTCCGCTTCCTGGCCGGCATCATGGTGTGGGTGATGATCGTCATGGTGATTTTGGTCCTGGGCTATGGTAAGTTGCCCTCTCCTGTGTGTTGTCCCCCACCCACACCACTTGCCCAAGTCTGCAAAAAGTCCATGCATAACCCCTCTATTTTTTTTTCTTCATTTTTGGGTCACACCCGGCGATGCACAAAGGTTACTCCTGGCTCTAGACTCAGGAATTACTCCTGGCGGTGTTCAGGGGACCATATGGGATGCTGGCAATCGAACCTGGGTTGACCTTGTGCAAGGCAAATGCCCTACCCACTGTGCTATCGCTTTGGTCCCTATTTTTTAATTTTTTATTTTATTTTGTTTTGCTTTGGACCACACCTGGCGAGGCTCAGGGCTTACTCCTGACTCTGCACTCAGGAATTACTCCTGGCGGTGCTCAGGGGACCATATAAGGTGCCAGTGAGCAAACCCGTCCTCCGGCATCTTATCCTGCGTCCTCAGCTTATGCCTCATCCCTTGTCTGGCATGTTTGTGAAGATGTTCATCTCAGTGTTTTTTTTTCTTTTTTTTGTCATTTTGTTTTTGGATACACCTGGCAGTGCTCAGGGCTGACTCCTTTTTTTATTTTATATATATATAGGGCTGGAGCGATAGCACAGCAGTAGGGCATTCGCCTTACAAGCGGCCAACATGGCCGACCTGGGTTCGATTCCTCCGCCCCTCTCGGAGAGCCCGGCAAGCTACCGAGAGTATTCGATATGCCAAACACAGTAACAACAAAGTCTCCAATGGAGACGTTACTGGGCCCGCTCGAGCAAATCGATGATCAACGGGAGGGCCATATATATATATATATATATATATATATATTTTTTTTTTTTTTTTTTGCTATTTGGGTCACACCCAGCGATGCTCAGGGGTTCCTCCTGGCTCTGCATTCAGGAATTGCTCCTGGCGGTGCTCAGGGGACCATATGGGGTGCTGGGAATCGAACCTGTGTTGGTCATGTTGGCTGCGTGCAAGGCAAATGCCCTACCCGCTGTGCTATCACTCCAGCCCCCAGTACTGACTCCTTTGTGCTTAGGGGTCCCTCCAGACAGGGCTCAGGGGACTGTGTGGGGTTTCTGAGGATCGAATTTGTGTTGACCTCATGCAAGGCAAGCACCTGCCTTGCTATAATATCGCTCTGGCCCCTATTTCCGCTTCTGTACTACAAGGATTGGTGCCTATGGCCCGTGATATGTAGCCTGGCACCAGAAAGTCGGGGTTCCAGGGCTGCTCCCCTGGTTCCCTCACTGCATTCCCTCGGGCATGGGAGTTCACTTCCTGTGCTTCAGTTTTCTCCCTCTGTAAAATGGGATAATTAGTGTTTACCGGTTGAGAGGCTGAATGATGGAGACTGGTCCCAGCGGAATCGGGAGATCCTGACCGGCCGCGCCCTGAGGCTTTTCCCTAATGCCCCAGCTTGGCCCTCCTGATTATTAACCTCAACTTTCCAAGAGAAAAGATGCTGGGCGCCACCATCATACTGGCTACAGACAGTAAAATATTAACGTTCGGTAGAGAATTCTAGGGGCCAAAGCAATAGTACCATGGGTAGGGCACTTGCCTTGCACACAGGACCCCAGGTTCAATCCCTGGCATCCCATAGGGTGCTCCGAGCCTTCCAGGAATGATTCCTTACTGCGAAGCCAGCAGTAACCCCTGAGCACCTTGGGGTGCGACTTAAAACAACCCCCGCCAAAAAAAAAAAAGAGGAGCTAATTGGAATTGAGACAGGAGAATGTGAGGGATCAGCGGGGGGAGGGTGTTCCAGGCTGTGGGACCAGCATGTGCCGAAGCCCTGGCTCATGAAGCAGCCCCAGAGCCTCTCTCTCTCTCAGCTTGTATTAGGGTGTGTGTGTGTGTGGGTGATTGATCCTGGGGGGTTGGTGGCGGCCCCGTGAGGTTAGCCTGACAGGGCGCCACCCTGCGCAGGAATATTTCACTGTTACATGGAATATGCCCGACTGCGCGGGGAGGCTGGCTCGGACGTCTCCCTGGTGGACCTTGGTTTCCAGACGGATCTCCGTGTGTACCTGCACCTGCGGCAGACCTGGATGGCCTTCAGTGAGTGCGCCCTGCTGTTCCCTAGCTGCCCCGTCCTGCCCTGGAGGACGCCGGGGAGGAGGGAGGGTGGCGCCCTGGCCCCAGCAGAACCCCATCCCTGTCTTCCCCAGTGATCATCCTCAGCATCCTCGAGGTCATCATCATTCTGCTGCTCATCTTCCTGCGGAAGCGGATCCTGATTGCCATCGCGCTCATTAAGGAAGCCAGCAGGTGCGTGCCTGGGCAGAGCATGGAGGTAGGGGGGCTCCCCGAGGCTGCTCAGGCCCTGATGCCCCTTTTCCTCTTTCCTTAGGGCTGTGGGATACGTGATGTGCTCCATGCTGTACCCGCTGGTCACTTTCGTCCTCCTGTGCCTCTGCATCGCCTACTGGGCATGTACGGCTGTGTATCCATCCTCAAGTCCACATGCCCCCCCGCTCCCCACCCCCCGTGAGCCTCCTTCCCCTGCACACACCCCAGTTCCAGATCTTAAATTCCTTAACGCACCGCCAGCTTCCTCTCCACATCCAACGAAGCCATCTATAAGATCTTCAGTGACAACACTCATGACAGTTGCTCAGTGATTGGCCAAACCTGTAACCCTGAGGTGGGTTTCCAGGGCTCTGGGGCAGGGCGTAGGGTTGGTACCTCTTGCCTCTGCCAGCCTACAGATGATCTGAAGCCGCTGGCACCTCCTTGAGCGTTCAGCACACATTTGACTCCTGCTGTGTGCCCAGGGTTGGGTGCAAGAGCCCTGGATTGGAAAAGCGATTCACCTTGGAGACCACAGCGGGGAAGGCTCTTGCCTTCCATCAGCCGACTTGGCTTTGATCCCTGGCACCGCATGTGATGCCCCGGACACCACCAGGAATAATTCCTGAGTGCAGAGCCAGGAGTCAGCATTGAGCACTGACCCCAAAACCAAGCTACCGAGAGTATTCGATATGCCAAACACAGTAACAACAAAGTCTCCAATGGAGACGTTACTGGGCCCGCTCGAGCAAATCGACGATCAACGGGAGGGCCATATATATATATATATATATATATATATATATATATATTTTTTTTTTTTGCTATTTGGGTCACACCCGGCGATGCTCAGGGATTACTCCTGGCTCATGCACTCAGGAATTGCTCCTGGCGATGCTCAGGGGACCATATGGGGTGCTGGGAATCGTGGCTGGTTTCCTCCTTCACCTACTTAACTGCGAACCCTTTCTCACCCCACCCCCTCTTCATTCCCACCCACCACCCCACTCTTGGCCATTCCTGTCCTGTGTCTTCATTGTCCCAGCACTGACACAGGCCCCACCCTGGTGCCCAGGATATCTGGATATCCAGTTCTCCCTCATGCCCCTTGGCTTCTAGAAACTGCGGTTCCTTAGCTTTACTCCTGACTCTTGTGCTCTCTTGAGGTCTTTTTTTTTAAGGTGGGGGAGGGAACACACCTGGTGGTGCTCAGGGCTGACTCCTGACTCTGCAACTCTGCGATCCATCCTGGCAGGCCTTGGGGAGCCATCTGGGGTGCTGGGGATAGAACCCAGGTCGCCATGTCAGGTAACCTGATTTTATCAGGTTCAGCAAGCGCCTTACCTGCTGGACTATCGCTCTGGCTCTCCATGTTCTTTCTGGCCCCGATGCCCAGGGCCCACTGTTTGTTTCGGGTGCCTGGGCTAGAATCCAGGGCTTCACACCTACAAGGCACGTGCCATGGCTGAACCCCAAGCCCATGTGAACAGGGATACCCAGGTTGCTGTCGGGTGACCTGATTTTATCTCCCACAGACCTTCGCCTCCTCCAACGAGTCCCGCTTGTGCCCTGGTACTTACTGCCAGTTTGCCTTCTACGGAGGAGAATCGGGGTACCACCGCGCTCTGCTGGGCCTGCAGATCTTCAATGCCTTCATGTTCTTCTGGTTGGCCAACTTTGTGCTAGCCCTGGGCCAGGTCACTCTGGCTGGGGCTTTTGCCTCCTACTACTGGGCTCTGAATAAACCGGATGACCTGCCTGCCTTCCCGCTCTTCTCTGCCTTTGGGCGCGCGCTCAGGTGTTGTCTTGTGGAGGGGGCACATGGGGATGAGATGGGGTGGAATATCCCTGATCCAGCCACTGACCACCTCCTGTTGGGTTCTCAGGTACCACACGGGCTCCCTGGCCTTTGGATCCCTTATTCTGGCCATCGTGCAGATCATCCGCGTGATACTAGAATATTTGGATCAGCGCCTGAAAGGTGCAGCCGGCTCTTCGCTGTCATTGGCTCTTGTGGGGGGCGGGGCTAATGTTCAGGACAAGATTGGCTCTTGCTCTAGGGGGCGTGGCCAAGTGCGGGAATATGACTGGCTCTGCCATCAGGAGGGTGGGGCAGAAGGGTTTGGGTGATTGGTTCCTGTATTAAAGGACTGCTGAGAGTAACATTCTTACTCCCGGGTGGGTGGGGCCAAGAGATCTGGCTCACCATTGGCTCGTGTGAGGAGCCGGGCAGCAACGTGATTGGTCCCAGTCCTGGAGGCAGGGCTGAAAGGTTAGAATGAATGGAGTTGAGTATCTGATTGGTTTGCCCTCTGGGTTTGGGGCAGCAAGTATCTGGAGGGTCCTGAGGTCTTTCTCAGTTTGAGAAGGTGGGTTCTGGGAGCAAATACAAATAACGGGGGAGGGGGCCTTCTTACCTTTCCTACCTCCCTTCTCTCCCAGCTTCAGAGAACAAGTTTGCCAAGTTCCTTATGACGTGTCTCAAATGTTGCTTCTGGTGCCTGGAGAAGTTCATCAAATTCCTCAACAGGAACGCCTACATCATGGTGAGGGGGCCCAGGACCCCAGGCGCGCGAGCCCCCGGAGCCCACCTGCCTGCCCTGGGTTCTGACCATGCCTTTTCCTCTCCCGCCAGATCGCCATCTATGGCACCAACTTCTGCACCTCAGCCAGGAACGCCTTCTTCCTGCTCATGAGAAATATCATTAGGTCAGGGGACTCCCTGGGCCTGTCCGCTGTCCTCTGGTACCCCCAGTGCCCGATCCCACCTTTAATGCCTCCTCTTCCCTGTCCCTTGCAGAGTGGCCGTCCTGGACAAAGTCACCGACTTCCTCTTCTTGTTGGGCAAACTTCTGATCGTGGGGAGCGTGGGTGAGTGTGCGTGAGTGTGCTCATGCGCAGAGCCTGTGGATGCCCTGTCTATGGCTCGAAGGCGGGGGGGAGGGGGACAGGGGAGTATTGCTTTTTTCTCATTTTTAAATTTATCTTTTGGTTCTTGGGCCACACCTGGCGGTGTGCAGGGCCTGGCTCTGTGCTCAGGGATCACCCCTGGCGGGGCCCTGGAGATTCTGTGGGGCGCTGGGTATCCCGGGGCTCAAACCTGGGTCATCTGGGTATGAGGCCAGCACTTTAGCTGCTGTACTACCTCTGAGGTCAGTCTCTTGATTTGGAGCTAGGGTTCAAGCTCAAAGCCTCACACAGTGACATACTCACTGAGCAATATTCCCTGACCGTGGGTCAGGGGACTCCTTTATTTTTTGATTTGGAAGCTACTCCTGGCTTGTTGCTAAAGGAAATACACAGTCGCCTGAGCCTCCTATGTTCAACCCGCATTTCCTGCTCTGCTCTGGTCTCTATCTGGTTGCTACTTTCTTACTTTTTTGTTTGCTTGGTTGGTTTTGGGGCCAGGCCCAGATGCTCAGGGGTTACTCCTGGCTCTGTACTCAGCAATTACTTCTGAAGGTGCTGGGGAGCACTATGGGATGCTGGGGATCGAACTTGGGTTGGGTGCGTGAAAGGCCAGTGCACCCAGCCAGTGCACCCATCCCTACTTCCTTCTTTTGGGATTTTTTTTTATGCTTTATTTGGTGACACCCAGCGATGTACAGGGGTTACTCCTGGCTCTGCACTCAGGAATTACTCCTGGCAGTGCTCGGGGGACTATATGGGATGCAGGGAATCGAACCTGGGTCAGCCTCGTGCAAGGGAAACACCCTACCCGCTGTGCTATCGCTCCAGCCCCCAGCTGGGATCTTTAACCCGTCTTGGTTCTCCCCCTTCTCAGGAATCCTGGCTTTCTTCTTCTTCACCCACCGCATCAGGATTGTGCAGGACACGGCTCCAGCCCTCAATTATTACTGGGTCCCTATCCTGGTATGGACTCTTGGGGATGAGCAGGGGTCTGGGGGCTTATGGACCTGTTGGGGTTGTCTCACTGTGCCTTCAGTGGACACGGGAATCGGAGAGCAGGGACTCAGTGCTGAGGCCATCTCTAACTGGGTTTTGTTTTTTGGATGGAGAGACCCATCGGGGGATGCTCAGGAGCTACTTCTGGCGGGATGCGATGGAGCCGTGTGGCGCCAGGGATTGAGCCCGGGCTTTCAGAGCTCCAGACCTCTGAGCCATCTCTCCAACTCCAAACAACCTAAGATTTGGGGGCCGGAGGGATAGTACAGCGGGCATTTTCCTTGTACTTGGCTGGGCTGGGTTCAATCCCCGGCACCACCACAGGACCCCCGAGTACCACTAGGAGTAATTCCTGAGCATAAAGCCAGGAGTAATCCTTAAGCATAGCCAGATAAAAACAAAAGGCATAGGGTTTTTTTTTTTTTTGAGGGGGAAAGGGCCACATCCAGCTGTGCTCAGAGATCACTCTAGTGCTCGAGGGGTCCCTATGGGAGGTCAGGGATCGAACCTGGGTTGGCTATGTGCAGGGAAATGCTCTCCTAGCTCCAGCCCCAGCCAATTGGCCTAGATTTTTGTCCTCACTCTCCCTTTGCTCGTTCTAAGCCAATCATGAGGGCACGTTATTTAATCTCTTTAAGTCCTCTGACCTAGTAAGGACTTTTGTGTCTCTCAACCTGCTGTGCCAAAGCAAGAGATGGGGCTGAGTTACTAAGGGCATGAAACCCACAGTGCCCCCAGTGTTCCTAAATCTGGTCCTTGGACAAAGACCCCAGAGGAGGTGTGTGGCCAAGATGGTTTCGAGCAGGGCCTAGCTTGGGATCCGGAGAGATGGCAGCTGTTCCCTGCTTTGATTCCTGAGCACTGCACATGGGAATGATCCCTGAGTGCAGAGCCAGGAATAAGCTCCAGATCTGGCTCCAATCCCACCCCCTCCAAAATTCCCATCCCAATGGGAGCCTCGCTGCCCATGGAAGCTTCCTGGAGGAGGCGGTATGTGCAGAGTTGCTGTTTAAGGTGGAAGCAGGCAGATGTGGAGACTGGGAGGGGTCCAGTGTGGGTGACAGGTTTGCCAGTAGGACGGCTTAGCGGTGGAGCTGGGACAGGGTCCCCTCCAGGAGGGAGAGACCGGTGGAGGGGGCAGTAGGGATCACGAATTGCCCCAGGTGGGAGCCGGGGTGGAAACTGGCTGGTCTTCCCGGTCTAGACGGTGATCATCGGCTCCTACCTGATCGCCCACGGCTTCTTCAGCGTCTACGGGATGTGTGTGGACACCCTCTTCCTCTGCTTCTGTGAGTGACCCCCTTGCCCCATCCTGGCTGGGCCCTGACTCAGGGCTCCCTGCGGGGCGGAACACGGGAAGCCCCGCCCCCTTCCAGGGATGGAGGCCCCTGGCCCCAGGGACCCCGTGGCTTGCCCTCTCGGCCTCGCCCTGCAGCCTGTGCTTGGTGCTGCCCCCTCGCCCTGCCCCAGCGGCCGGGGGTCTCGCGTTGTTTCTGGCTTCGTCGGAGGGTCGGGGTCTGCGACTGCCACTAACTCTGGTGTCTCCATCTGTCTCGTTTGTTGTTGTTTTTTTCTTTCCTCTCCTCTCTCCTCCTCCTCCACGCCTGCCGGCTTCCCCTCTTTTCCCGCCTGCCCCTCCCTCACCTCTCTGACTCCTCTCCCGCCCCGCCCCCCGCCCCCCACCGGCTCCTGGGGGGAATCCAGGTGAGGACCTGGAAAGGAATGACGGCTCTCAGGAGCGACCCTACTTCATGTCGCCCGAGCTGAGAGACATCCTGTTGAAGGGGAGTGCGGAGGAGGGGAAGCAGGCCCCGGCGGAGGAGTAGAGGCTGCGGGGGGGGGGGGGGGGGGGGGGGGGGGGGGGCCGGGCCTGCCGGGGCGTGGAGTGTGTGTGCGTGCTCTGCCCTCCCGCGACCTCCGCGTGTCCTTGGCTTCCTAATTAACCCTCTCGAGGCTTGGCGCGTGCCCATCCCGGCGGCCCCTCCCCCTCCCCCGCCCGTGGCTCGCGGGCACCCCTCACGCCGCGCCCGTTGTCCGCGGCCTCTCTCTGCAGTGGAGGACCTGGAGCGAAACGACGGCTCGGCCGAGCGCCCCTACTTCATGTCGTCCAACCTCAAGAAGCTCTTGAACAAGACCAACAAGAAGCTGGAATCCTAAGGACCCCCTCGAGGTGTCCCGCGGGGTGCTGGAGAGTGGGGTCCATCACCCCCCTCCCCCAAGTCCCTCACTGCCGCTCCCCATACCCCCACAGTCCTCCATCACTCGGTGACCAGCAGTTTCTGGGGACCTGGAAGATTTGGGGGGCATCATGTCCCTGTGCCAAGGAGGTGCAGTTGGGGATCTCACGGCAGAGCCCTCATCCTGACCCCAAGACTGCCAGTCGGCTGAGCTCGTCCTTGCCCTCCCCCACCAGGAGGCCGTCCCTGGGGGCTCTTGCCATGTGGCATGGCCTGGGTGCAGCCTCATGGTTCCTGGTTCCCCTTTTTATTATTATTATTTTTGACGGTGCCGGGGATCGAACCCAGGGCCTCATGTAAGCAAGGCAAGTGCTCTCCCACTGACCTTCATCGCTGGCCCATCCAGTTCCCCATCTTCAGGACACTGACTAGACAGTATGTGGGGCCTGGAGATAGCCCGGGCTCAACAAGCTAGGTGCCCTGTACCCCACCACTCCCTCCCCTTGTCTGCTCTGGCCAGAGCGGAATATTTCAAGGTGGCTGGGTTCACTCCCGGGCATTTCTGGGGGACTATTTTTCCCTTTTGGATTGTGTTGAAGGGCCTCTGAGCTGTGTTTCTGTCTCTGTAGCTGAGATGGGTCACCCCCCCTGCACTGGACGGTCTTCCGATGCCCGCTGCCCACTTGCGTGGGTCCGGGGCTGGGGGTCAGAGATGGAGGGGGCACTGTGTGCCACCAGAAGCAGGCCCCAGCAGTGGCCGCTTCATGGAAACCTGTTTGCTGGCTGGAGCACGGCGCCTCCCCTGCCAGTAGCCAACAGCGCTCTCTTTGTGAGAGCACAGAAATGGAATCTACCCCAGGGATGGTTTGGGGGGGGGGAGGGGGCGGGCGCCAGTGACACTCCTGTGCTGTTTCCTCGTCTTGAGGATCCTTTTTGCCAAAACTCACTGAACTCAGGGGACCTGGTTTCCTGGTTCCCCCTACACCGTGCCCAAGGCCCCCCTCCTGCCCTCGCGACTGGGATCCCCAGTATCCACTTCCTGTGCAACCCCCGCCCCCCCACCTGCATTCCAACCACTAATAAAGTGCCTACTGTACAGAGAACCCTGTCTCCGGTGTTTGTGGGAGGACGGCGGGCAAGGGTGGGGGCACCCCAGCGCCAGCTGTCCTGGGATACCCCCGTGTTGGGGCCCCGCTGGCCCCAGACGGAGCCAGGGCAGGAAATATCCGCCCGCATCCCCTGGCTTAGGTTGCCCTGAACAAACGCCCCTTATTAGGCTTGATCCCTAGAGGCCAGGAGGCACTGTGGCCTGTCCACCTCCGCCCACCCGGGTCACATGGCTTGGACGCCAGCCCCAAGTCAACTTTGTCCCTTGAGCACACCCTGTGGTCCCAGCGCCCCACACCCTGTGGTCCTGCTCTCTGCTGCCCCCTGGTGAGCGTACCATATCTATCTCTTCAATTTCCTTTCCCACCCAAAGAGGCCCTGTTTTCCCCCCCTTTTTTTTTCTTTTTGGGTCACACCCGGCGATGCTCAGGGGTTACTCCTGGTTCTGCACTCAGGACTTACTCCTGGCGTTGCTCAGGGAACTATATGGGATGCTGGGAATTGAACCCGGGTCGGCAGCTTGCAAGGCAATCACCCTACCTGCTGTGCTATCGCTCCAGCCCCTCGTTTTCCCCTTTATTTATCCCCGCTTTGAATAAAAATTAGCAAAAATCTATTAAAAAATAGTAATGAAATTGAAATTAATTTTTATTAAAACATAGCCCCCCCCCTCCCCTTTTGGTTGCTTCTGGCCTTCCTGGTTCTGCACTTAGGGATCATTCCTGGCGGGGTTCGGGAGTGCCAGAGATGGACCCTGGGTCTGCAGCATGTAGGCCAGCGTCCTCCCTGCTGTGCTTTCTCTGACCCCTCTACCAAAGCTTTCCTCTGTTAAGTCTTTCTGGGCACGGCTGGTGATGCCAAGGGCTGCTTGCCCCCAGTGGTGCCAGCATTTAAACTCAAGGCTCTCCAAGCCAAGCCTGCAGCTCCAGGCCTTTGCGCCCTGTCCCTGGTCTGTCTTTTAAGGGGTTGGGTCACACCCAGGCTCTGCATCCAAAATTACTCCTGGTGGTGCTCAGGGAGCATATGGGATGCCGGGGATGAGCCCAGGAAGCCTCATGCATGGCAAACACCCTCCCTGCTGTCCCACTGGTGAAAAGAGCTTGTTGGAGCTTCGAGGCAACTCTTAAGCCTAAGTGAAGCTCCCTGAAGCGAGGGGAGTAGGCTCCAAGGCCCCGTTTCATGGGACCAGGATGAAGCACTTAGCCAGTTGGGGTTCTGATCTCAGGATGGATGTGGGTGTGGATCCATCCTCACATCAGGGTGTTTTGGGGGTGGGCCTCAAAAAAAAAACCCCACAAATCTGGCAAGGATGCAAAGGAACAATATCTATATTTAAGTAATTTTATTGTTTTTTTCTTTTATAGAGGCCACACCCAGCTGTGCTCAGGGCTTACTCCTGACTCTGCATTCAAGTTACTCTGGCTGGCTTGAGTGACCATATGGGGTGCCGGGGAGAAGCATACAAGGAAAGCATCCTACCCGCTATACTGTGTCTCTCCTCCCTCCCCGTCAACAAACGTGTTTTAGCTGAATCAAATGTAATGAATGGGTCTAGGGCACCTTCCACCTAAAGCCTAAGGGACTCAGGGAAGTCAATGGAAACCTTTTCCATTCTGCCACTTGGGGGCGCCCTTAGCCTAGGCAAAGCACCGGTACACGCACCGCGGGAGTCCAATAGCCTGAGAGGTTTAACTTCTTGACACAACACACTCCATGAGTTGTGTTTCTTCATTGTGTTAAAGTGTCTGCAAGTGGGAATGAAAACGACGACACATCTATTAGGAATGGAAAAGCAGCAAGACAAAATGCAATGCAGATTTTGTGGGGTTAAGACACCCCAGCAGGGTATGGAGTGATAGCACAGCGGGTAGGGCATTTGCCTTGCATGCGGCCAACCCAGGTTCGAGTACCAGCATCCCATATGGTCCCCCAGCACCTCCAGGAGTAATTCCTGAGTGCAAAGCCAGGTGTGACCCCAAAAAAGAAAAAAGACACCCCAGCACCGACAGAGAAGGTACCTTCCAAACGCTGTCAAGGGGGTGCTGGGGTAACTAAGGAAACTGGTTCTGAAACGTAAAAACAAAACCAAAAAAAAAGGACGACCGGAAGTGGCTTCAATGGTCGAGGACAGACCTGGCTAATATTAGAAGCGGAGTTTTGATCTGACATTGCAGGGTACCACCCCCACACCTGGCCCTCTTATACCCGGGTAACCCCTTATATTGAAAGGGCAAAACACAAAACAGAATCTTGGGACCCACCCGGTGGCTGGTAGTATTAAGTTTTAAATAACCAGTTTTCGAGTTCCATATGAAGAATCAGGCCCCGTGTGCAGGTCAAGGTGGCAGGGGGTGGGTGGGCAAGAGGGAGCATGGGAAAACTAGAAGTTGACACTGGTGGTGAAACTGTATCGAAACATTGTATGCCTAAAACCCAACTATCAATTACTTTGTAAAAGCACAGTTCCACAACTGTTTTTTTTAAAAAAGATACGCTCTCAATTCAGGACCCCCCCCCCCCAGCCTTGAAAAACAAAACCAATAAACAGGGAGGGCGCTTTCCTGGCACATGGCCGACCCAGCCAGATTCGTTGCCCAGCATCACATAAGGTTCCCCGAGCCCCTCCAGGAGTGATACTGAGCACCGCCGGGTGTGGCCCAAGACGAAACAAAAACGAAAATCATTTTGCAAGTAATGAAACTAAGGCTGTCTTAGGTTCACGGGGCGGTACTGGAAGCCAGGGCTGACACCGGGTCTTGAGCCAGCGAAGGTCTGCGAGTGAGCTCCGTGGCCGGGCCGGGGGTGTCGTCCTCCTCCAGCCCCTTTGCCGGTCACTCTCGGCGTCGCATCTCGGCTTGCGCGGGAAACCGCAGCGCGGCCGAGCCGCTAACGATCGGGGCTTCACGCAGGTGCCGATGCACGGCCGGGGCCTCGGCAGCCCCCTCGACCTCCCTCCGACGCGGAGGACTCCGGCAGATCGCGCGGGCAGAGGAAGCACCCGCCCCCGCACTCTTGCTGCGCCTTTTTCCTGGCCTGGACCATAGTCTTTCCATCTGCGAAAGGGGGGCAGGGGAGCGGACGATCCCGATCCGGTGGGCTCCGCCCCTCCGAGGCTACGGACGCTGGTAGTAGCCCGGCGGAGGTTTGCGAGGCCCCAAGCCCCGGCGCGGGGCAGACACGGGGAAAGCTCAACCCGGCCGTTCCTCACGACACCTCGGGTTTTCTCCGCGGCGTGAGTGGAAAATCTCCGCCGGAGGATGCCGCCGGGAAGGCCGTGCCTCCGCGGCCCAGACCCGCTCACCCACGTGCCACGGCCTCGGAGCCGTTTCCGCCAACGTACTCCCAGCGACGGGTGCAAGATGGCGCCCGCGCTTGCGCGCGCGGCCCCGCCCAGGCGCGGCCGCGTCACGTGGTACCAGCCGCTCCAAAACCGCCACTGAGCGAAAAAAGGCATTTTCGCGGGGGCTCGCGTCACGTGACGCGCACCCACCAATCGCGCCGCGGGAGCGCGACGTCGCCGCATCATGTGGCCCCGGAGGCCGGGTCACATGACCCCGCCGGCCCGCCCCCGCCCTCCCCGGGGCGGGGCCACGCTCCTGACGTCCACGTGCGCCCGCGACGCAGCGCCGGCGGAGCCGTCACGTGACGCCGGGCACCCTCCTCGCCGCCGTCGCCCGCTCCTTCCCTCCACGGCGGGGCTGCGTCGCGCGGGCGCGAGGGGGCGGGGCTCCGGCGGGTCACGTGCCCCCGCACCTCCCCGGCGCGCGCCCGCCCGCCCGCTCGCCCCCGGCCCCGGCTCCTCCTCCTCTTCTCGCCATTGCAGTTGGGACTCGGCAGCCCGGTGCGCGCCGCGTGGCTGGTTTGTGGGGGGCGACCCCGGCGGGCTGTGGCAGGAGGGGGCGGCGGCGCCGGAGGCCGGGGACGCCGACCAGGTAAGCGTCACTGTGGCGGCGGCCGGGCCCGCCGCTGCCCCTCCCCCCCCGCCCGGCCTGCCCCCCGCCGGCGGGGCGCGGGCTCCCGCCGCTGGGGTCGCCCCGACCGCCTGCCCCGGCGCCCCGCGCCCCGGCCGGCGCCAGGCCCCCCGCCCCGCCGCCGCCCCCTGCCCCCCGCCGGCGGCCGCGCTCCCGCGCTCGGCCGTTAACTCGCCCCCATTGTGCCGAGGAAACAAGATGGCGGCGGCGGCCCCGGTGCGCGCGCACCCGCCCCCCCGCGCGGCCCCTCGCGGGCGGCGGCGCCTGGCGCGGCGGGGGGGGGGGACGGCGCGCCCCCGGACCCCCCGGCCGCCGCCGCCCCCGCGCCCCGCTTTGTCCGCGGCGGCGGGCGCGCCGGCGCGCACGTGCCGGGCGCACACACCCCCTCGCGCGGCCCGGGCGCTGCCCGGCCTGGCCCGCCGCCGCCCACCCCCACCCCCGCGCTCTGGTCCCCCGCACCCTCCTCCTCTTTGTCACAAGTCCCGCCCCGCGGCCCAGGAGGGTCCCAGGTCGTCGAGGCGGGAAACGTCCATCTCCTTTGTCCTTATCCGGGCGCGGGCCGGAGGGTCCCCGACAACCGCCTCTGCCCGCAGGTCCCCGGCCCCGCGCAGGGGTCGCCGGCGGCTTTTGTGCGCAGGCGGTTACTAAGGTTTGGGCCCCTGGGGCGGCCGACCCCCGAGCCCCACCCCCTCCGCGCCGTCCCGCTCAGGATCGCAACTTGGGTGGTGCCGCCGGGTTCCCGCGTTCCTTCAAATTGGTTGTCTCGCGGGGTGAGCGTCTGTCTTCCCCATCCCTCGCTCCAAATGGTGATGGGGCTAGGGGAGCTCGTGATCGTTTGTACCCTCTTCCCTCAAGTGGCGGGGCAGCGGTGTTGGATGTTCTTCTGCTCGTGTTCTGCGTGGTGGGATGTGCGTGGGCTCCGTGGGGCTCCGCCCGCGCCTCAGCATCCACTCTGGGCGCGTGAGCGGGCGCTTCTCTGGATATTTGCAGGAAATGAGCATCAAGTGGCGGTCGGGAGGGAGGGAATGGGTAAGCCGCGGGCCTTCCCTCAGTGGGCCTCCCCGGGCTGACTACAGGTATTTGGGGGCTGTGAAGGATCCCACTGGCTCCGGCGACTCCCCTAGATGCGGTGCGTGGTCCCTGGGGTGTGTATGAGCTCCGTGGAAGCAGGTGTGGCGTTAGCCTCCTGTGGCATCCTACAGAGCATCTGCACGCATGTCTGTAGGTATCAGGGTCTCTCCCGGGACTGCGCCCCGTGCTGCCAACCCGTTTGCGTGTGACACTTTGCGTATAGGCCTCCGGGGATGGATTCTCAAGCCATGAATGGAGTGTGGGAATCCAGGGCTCATTCACGGCTGGGATAGTGAGGGAAGCCCCGGGTTTTCCCCCTGGCCTCAACCCTGGCATCCAGGCAACCAAGGGGCTGGCACGTCTGCGCAGCAGCGGTCACTGATTTCTGTGTCCTCGCCCTCCTGGGCTGTGGGCGAGCTTAGGTCCACTCTTGTGGGAAGGGAGGTGCTCAGTCCCGACAGTTGTTTTTTGTGGGATGGTCAACTTGTTGGGCGTCCAGGGCACGTGTCGCTGCTGCCGCCCCAGAGCCCTTTGGAACTGAGAGGGGCCTGGGGGTTGGACTGCAGGCACCTGCTGCCCCTTCCCGCTGCCCGGCCTGGTGACCTTCTCCAGCTCAAGTCGATGAGTAAACACAACCAGTCCCTTTGGGGAGCAGAAGCCAGTGACTGTCTCTCCATCCTAGATTTCAGCACTTCATGGGGCAGAATGTTCTTCCTCTGACAGGGGCTGCGCTTCTCAGAGCTGCCTTTCCTTCCAGGAATGATCGCTGATTCTACTGTGGCCCTCTTGTTTCTCCTTCGGGGCCCCACATGTCATTGTCACCCTCAGTAGTCTCAGGTGGCGCCTTCCTTGGGACTGAGGCTGACAGAGTGGCCCCTCTGGCAGTGACTGGGTTCCTATCAGCTCTGGCGACGCTAAGTGGGCACTGCTGCTCTGTGGGAGGAGTGACGGTCCGACGGGAGTGGAAGCCTTGCTAGCCGGCTCCTTTTCTTTTGGGGGGCCCCAACCTCCTGGTGCTAGGAGGCTGCTGGGGAGTGGGAGGCAGGGGCAGGCCAAGCCTGCACCAGCCCTGCGAGCACTTGTTTGAGGAGTGCTTCCTTCCGCAGCCCAGGGATCTGGGGGGCCTTTTTAAGGAATCACTAAGAAGTAGCAAGTAGGATTTAGTGCAGACTTCTAACATCTGCGGTTAGGGGTCCTCAGAGTGCTCTCTACTGAGAGCTGCAGGAGGAAGACTTGGCCAGCGCCAGTGGCTCAGCAGACAGCCCCGCAGTGAGTCGGGCCATTCTCCAGCCCTGAGCCCCCGCCCCGCCCTGTCACTCAGTCCTGTGGTTGGAACATGATTCCATGTCCAGCAGGGCTCCCCACATCTGCCTCCCTGCCACTTGCTTTCCTTCTGCCTTTGAACTGTTTCCTCTGATTGGGAGTGGTGGGTGGTGTTTGAAGAATGAAATGTTACAGTGTGACAAGTTAGGTTGTCTCTTAGCCTCTGGGCAGATTAATAACTCTCCCTCGATCTGTGATTTAGAAAAGGGGGTGGAGGTGCTGGCAGTATGGGAAGCAGCAGCTCAGCCCCACAGCTCTGAGTTGCCTTTGTAAATATTTGTGCTGGAGGCTGTGGGAGTGTCACCCTTGTGTGGGGATTCCTGGGGCAGAGGCGAGTGTGGGAGCTGGCAGGAGTGGACGCAGAGTTGAGTCGGCTTCCACGGTTTCGGTACAGCTCTGCTGGGAGCCGTGATGTTCTGGGATGACCCCAACAGCCTCATGTAGGACAGTGCTGAATGTGTGTCGTGTCATGTGTCAGCTTGTGCGAGGCCCTGTATTTTTGCTCTGGCACCCCACTGTTGGTCACTTTTTCTTCCTTGTTGGAGGGGCAGTTTGGGGGTCTTCCACCTTCGGGCAGGAGGAGAGCTTGTGCCAGGGAAGGCTGGCCTGTGACACTGTATCAGCAACTGTATCCATGACCTGCTTGCGGTCTTACTTTGCTGAATGTTGCAGAGCCTGAGTGAGCAGCGACTCCAGCGAAGTAGAGCAAGTAGGCTGGAGGGGTCCATGCCCAGCAGACTTGAACCGACTAGCGGAACTTGGGGGTGGTGGCGGTGGAGTCACACCAGGAGATGCTCAGGGGGGACCCTGTCGGCTGCTGGGGGTGGAACCCTAGTTGACTGTGTGCCAGGCCAGCACCCTCCTCAGTGTTGTAACTCGCAACATTCCCTCCCCTTTGTAAGGCTCCAGGTTCCTCCAGGTTGCGTGGTGGGGTGCTCTGGCCTCCGGGTCCCCCCAGTCCCCGTTTGCTAACTGGCTTCCCTCTGCGTCTGCCTGTGGATCAGGGTGAAGGTTGCTGGCTGTCCCCACGTGTGTTTGGGCTCTGCCCCACGCAGCCACTCTTCCTCTTGGTGTCCCCAGCGGGTGACGGATCCCCCAGGATGAGTGACGTGGAGCTCACGAAGCCTTTCTCCCTGTCCCCTACTGTCCCGATAGTCAGTTCTGAGGCGAGATGTGTTTGCTCCCCCGAAGCAGGGCCTGGACTGGCTGGTGGCCGTCCTGGGCTTGAGGCCAGCTCGGCGGCGCCACCTGTATCGACCACCTCAGCTTGTCCAGGAGAAGCTCTTATTCTTTGCATTATCTGTGGTTTTAGGCCCCCCTGGTGGTACTGGGGGCTCTCCTGGCGAGATGCCCCAGGGGTGTGACGGGATTGGACCTGGGCCTTTGGTGCCACACGTGTGCTCCAACCCCTGCGCGTTCCCGGGCTCGCATCAGAGAAAGAGCTGCCTGCGCTGGAAGCAAGTATTGCTGAAGCCGGTACTCCGGGCTCGGCCTGCGCAGGTGGGAGAGTTCGTGTTCCCGCGCATGACCTGGAGGATCCCTGAAAGGGAAGGACCGAGAGAAGGCAGGCCCACGTGGGGAGAGCCTTTTATGGGGGCTGAGATGCTGCTCCGGCAGAGGTGCAGCTGGGAATCCCTGCGGACTCCTTGGTCTCCACCAGAGCTGCCAGAGTGGGCCGAGGACTTGTGGGACACTCGCGGTTATCCCCGGGAGCCCTGCTCTGCCCAGGCCCACAGGCCTTGCTCCTTACCACTGAGCCATCTCTTTGGTCCTCTGACCAGATTCCCTCTTTCGTTTGTGATCGCCAGGATTGCCCCGGGCTGGGTCAGGCCTTGGGCGCATGCTCTCTCCTCCCCATCCTCCAGGTCTCAGTCACTGAGCAAGTCATGTGGCCCATGGATCTTGGGACCTCATGCCTGGCAGGTGCTCTGACTCTGAGCCGGGTGCAGGGGCTCAAACCCTCCCGCATTCATGCCAAGTTTTCTTGGCTGAAGGACATCCCTGGACAGTCTGCAGGGAGGTTTTGGTTGGATCTGTGCCTCGCTGCTTTGTGGAAACAGTCTCCTGGGTTCAGTTTTCCTCAGCGGTTCTGGTTGATGTTCGCCCGGAAGTTCCTGTGTGTGGGGAGTTGTGGGCTGTCAGTGTACAGACCAGCACTCGGGTCCCAACAGAGGGTGTTGGGAGCCCCCTGCAGGGGACCCCGCCCCCTGAGTGCCCGTACCCCTCTTCCCCCTGTGCTCTAGGCAGTGCTCCATACTCGTCCGCGGGGCTGGTAGTTGAATCAGGGTGCATGCCTTTCACCCTGAACCGTGGCCCGTCTCTGCAAACAGTGGATCGCTCGGGTCCCTTTCCATTGGCCAAACAGCAGCTGCATTCTTAGGAGCTAGGGGCCCGAGAATCATTGTCCCCATAAGCTTGATGTTGTGTGATTTGAGCTTCTGTGGCTCTGCGTGCTGAGGATGGGCTGGTTTCTGAGACAGAACAGGAGACCCCCCCCCCCCGCCTCCCGCGGCCCCAGACCCTGAAGGAGCTGCGGGGCCTTAGCACTGTGTATGAACCGCCAAGCTCAGAAGCTGCTCCTCCTCTGTCGTGTCCCTTCTGCTGCGGGGTTGGGGGCTGGCCCCGGCCCTCAGGCTTCCGTGGCAGCCTCACCGTGCTCGCTCCGATTCCCGGTGAGTTAGTGTGGGTGGGTGCCGTGGGCCGCTTGCCAGCAGTGCTCCTGCCGGCAGCGCAGCGCAGCTCAGCGAGGAGTAGCTTCTGCTTATACAGACGGAGCCCCAAGTCCGCTGACGAGACGGCGCCTTTGGGCTCTGTGCCAGGGCAGCTACCAGGCGGGCTGGGCAACCAAGGCGGTGCCCCCTCAACTGAGCGGCCCGGGCTCCAGTCCCAGCTCTGGTGCTCCTTGCTCCACTGCCTGGTGTGGTTGGGAACCAGGAGGCGGCCCCGGGTGCGAGTGGGAAGCAGAGGATGGTCTCAGGGTGGTCCCATGGAGAAAGTGGGCGGTGCGCTCACAGCCGGGGGAGGGGGGCGCTGCAAGGGTCCGGCTCCTCCGCACTCGGGGTGTGGTTCGCTCCGGTCTCCGTGTCAAGCCCCCATCAGGTGTCATTTGCAGGGAATGGAGTCGGGGTCTGCGTCCTCCTTGTGAGCATCACTGGGCCGTTGCACCAGTGGACACGCCGTGAAGCGATCGTACGTGTTTCCTGGGTCGCTGCCCAGCGTGTTGCTGGCCTCCCAGTCCACAGCGCTTTCTGTGACGCGCTTCAGAGCAGCCTTTCCTCTGCGTGGGAGCCGGAGTCCACTGTTGATTCCCCCTCCTTTCTCAGGCCATGCTGGGGATGATGACTGCTGGTGTGAACCTGAAGGTCTGGGGTTGGGGCTTGAACTCGGGCCTCCCGCTTGCAGTCTTGTGGTGGACACTCCCACCCTACCAGGATGGACTGACCATCTCCCAGACAGCATCTGGTTCCCTCTTCTCGTGCTTTTCACTGTTGACAAGGAAGCCCTGGGCTTGGGTTTGTTCTGGTGTTTGGGTGACCCCAGCAGTACTCAGGTGTCACTCCTGGCTGTGCTCGGGGCGTCTGATGTGGTGGTGCTGGGGTTTGAACCCGAGTTGGCTGCATGCTGAGCAAGCCCCTGCCTGTTGTCCGGTCTCCTCCGGCCTCTGTAGACGCAGGGCTGTGCGTTCTGCCATTCCATTGATGGGTGTTTTTTAAACGTTTGTACCCATGTAAGCCCAGAGCCTTGTGCATGCAGCACGCCCCTGGCAGTGAGCACATTCTGGGGTTCCAGGGCCAGGGCAGGCCAGGTTGCCGGTATCTGTGGGGACTGAAAGCCCCGGTGCACTCGGAACAGCTCCATGCAGTGTGACCGGTGCGGGTGGGGGCGCAGGCCATGCAGCTGCTTCTGTCCCTGGGGTGGTGGGATTTTTTGGGCGACCTGACCCTCCCACACTGGACGAGGAGGGTGTAAATCTGCAATGCCCCTAGTGTTCAAACCTGGTGGAGGAACCCCCTGTATGCTGCCCTCATGTCATGGGGGGGGGGGCTGCGTTTAGGGCCTCAGATCCGGCCTTGCACTCCTGGGGGTGTGTGCGCCCCTGCCCTCGGTGGGCTCAGTGGGTGTTTGGGGGGACTGACCTATACTTCTCCTGGGGGAGTTTGCAATGTATGTGTTTGTGGGTTTGCGCAGTCAATTTCACCTTTTTGGGGAGTACAGTTGTGTTTGGGGGTGACATCTGCCAGGAAATGAGCCCCAGGCTCCTGCATGCATAGCACATGGCTGCCCTGGGAGCACGGGCCAGAGTCTGGGCTTTGAGGCCTGGGGGAGTGGGGGGACTCATTGCCGTTCTGGCTGCGGCCAGGTGCCCTCTTCCCTGCCACCCCCCACCCTTCCCCCGCCTCTGGGGCTGGGGCCAACTCCAGCTCTGCAGGGTCAAGGTCCCACAGGGCCCCCTGGCCGAGTCGACCCTTCAGCCCCGCGTGTGCTGTCAGGGGTTCGGTTGGGTGTTCGCGTCCTGGGACACACCTCGGTGGGCACTGGTTGCACAGGCTTGCTCGCCGGCTCTTTCTGGATGTGCTCCCGCCCTGAGCCACGGTCCCCCGCCCCGCGTGCCCGTGTTAGCTCCTTCATGACCCTGGGACGGGTCTCCTGCTCCTGGCACAGTTTCGCTGGTCATCGTCCCTGCAGAACGTCCTGGGGACGGCGGTGCTGCCTGATCCGGGCTGGGAGAGAGCGCACAGGCGAGCAGTGCGACGCTCAGGGGGCACCCGCAATGCTCACTCAAAGATGCTCCCCTGAGCACCGCTGTGTGTGACCCTAACATGGGCGGGGGAATGTTGTTTTTTTTTTAACCAGAGTACTATAAGTTAAAAATTTGTAAACATAGGAGTTTATGCACTTTTTTTTTCTTTAAATTTCTATCAGTGAACACCATGAGGTACAGTTGTAGACTTACAAATTTTTGTGCTTGGGTTTCAGTTAGGAGTTTATGCACTTTTATAAACTCCATAAAAACATGGGGTGAAGTGAGAAGCAGTGAACGTGGCCCAGAGTCTGGGCCTCTGCTTGCAGGCAGTCCCCAGACATGCTCTGTCCCTTTGGTCCAGGGCGTGTCCTGGTTCCAGCGCTCCCTCAGGCCGCCCTGCCTTCTGCCCTCCTGTGGGTATCTTACTGCAAAATTGATACCTCTGAAGTTCTTGAAACTAAAGAAATTTTCTGCTCTTGTAGACAGTTGAAGTATTGATTACATCAAGGAAATCTGACCATTTGAAAAGCTAAGCAAAAAAAAATTGATTCCCAGACACTACAGAGAAAGAAGTGAAAATGGTAAGAAAAATGACTATCTACAAACACTACAGGCAGCCGCTTCCTCGGAGACCAGGGGCGTGATAGACTTTTCCTTGTTGAAGGGAGATGCCCAGACTGGGGGGGGTGTCAGAAGCCCGTGCGCCCCCTTGCTCCCCTCACACGGTGGCCTGTGCATAGGTGAAAGTGGGGGTTCGGTGCAGAGAGGGGCACTGAGGGGCGTGTGCCGAAACCAGACTGGGGGGGAGCCAGAGGAGGGTGGGCCCAGCCCAGAGGGGTTCGGAGACACTCGCACCCTCTGCCTTATGGGGCTGTCTGTGCATTTGCCCGGGGTGACCGCTGCAGACAGGTGAGAGGGCTCCCAGCTCCTGTGCGCCCTTTCTGACGGTGTCTCCCGTTTCAGCGTCCAATGCGAATCTTTGTGAATGATGACCGGCACGTGATGGCCAAGCACTCGTCCGTCTACCCGACCCAGGAGGAGCTGGAGGCCGTGCAGAACATGGTGTCCCACACGGAGCGCGCACTCAAGGCAGTGTCCGACTGGATCGACGAGCAGGAGAAGGGCAGCGGCGAGCATGCCGAGGCCGAGAGCGTGGACCTGCCCGCCGAGGACGAGACCAAAGAAGGTGCCGGGTAGGTGCCGGCGCGAGCGGGCCGGCGGGTGGCGGGTGGCGGGTGGCGGACACAGCCAGGCCAGTCCTCACCACGCGCTTGGCTGCCGTGCAGGGAGCAGAAGACGGAACACATGACGCGGACGCTGCGCGGCGTGATGCGTGTGGGCCTGGTGGCCAAGGGCCTGCTGCTCAAGGGCGACCTGGATCTGGAACTGGTGCTGCTGTGTAAGGAGAAGCCCACCACCTCGCTCCTGGACAAAGTGGCCGACAACCTGGCCATCCAGCTCGCTGTGAGTGACACTGGCCCCGCCCCCCTCGCGCCTTCCTAGGTCCTGCCAGGCTGCGCTGCCCTTTCCTCCTGGGGCCAGTTTCCTGCTGACTGGAAACACCTGGGTCATGTGTCTGAGCATTCTGGGGCGGCTCTCAGGAGGTCGGGTTGGAGTCGAAATGCCCAGTAGTCACGTCCCGGAGCACTTTATGGAGAAGCCTTATTTCCGCCCAGTGCTAGTATCGTTCAAGTTAATTTTGTTCTTGCCTGTAAAAAGCATTGGAAAGATGAGTCGGCGTCTATTTGCTGGTATTTTGTTGAGGATCGTTGCATCTGTGTTCATCGGGGGTATCGGCCTGTAATTCTGTTTTTGTGCTGTCTCTGCTTTTGGTATCAGGATGGTGGTTGCCTCATAGAAAGTGTTGGGAGGTGTCCTGTTTCTTAATTTTCTGCAAAAGCCTGCAAAGGATTGGCAGTACATCCTCTTGAAAGGTTTGGGAAAATGTTCTAGTGAATCTGTCTGGTCAGGGTTTTTGTTTTGGGGAAGACTTTGATTGCTATTTTAATTTCCTCAATATTACAGTTTTTTTCTGTTTCTTTGGGTCACACCCAGCAATGTTCAGGGGTTACTCCTGACTCTGCACTCAGGAATTACTCCTGGTGGTGCTCAGGGGACCCTATGGTATGCTGGGGATTGAACATGCATCGGCCACGTGCAAGGCAAAAGCCCCGCCCGCTGTACTATCACTCCAGCCCCAATATTACAGTTTCTGTTCTGGTATTCCAGACCTTGGCTTAGCTTTTGGAGGTTCTAGGAATCCCATAGTGTATTCCTTCTAGGGTCTCTGGTTTCGTGGTGTAGAGATTCTCAAAGTGATCTCTGATGATCTTTTGAATTTCTGTGGTTTCTGTTGTGAAGTCCCCTTTTGTTTCTGACCCCCCCCCCACATGCCCCAGGCCACAGCATCTCCAAGACTGACAGAATCCCGACTTCCTTTCCCAGAGGGCCTGTGTCTTCCTTGAAACCCGGACCCCAGCCTGAGCTGGGTGTGTGACATGCCTCAGCCTGGCTCTGGGGAGCCCGGACATCCCTGCAGGGGCCCCCACAGATGGGTGCTTTTCCGAGCACAGCTCTTCTCCTCTGGGACACCCAGCACGGGCCAGCAGGAGGACCAGGCCCCACTGGCCCAGGAGGGTGGCCACCAGAGGCCTGCGGGAGAGAGCGGTGGTGGAAGCTGCATTTTCTGTTTCAGGCCGTTACAGAAGACAAGTACGAAATCCTGCAGTCCGTGGACGATGCTGCAATTGTCATCAAGAACACGAAAGAGCCCCCCCTGTCCCTGACCATCCATCTGACGTCCCCTGTGGTCAGAGAAGAGATGGAGAAAGTGTCAGCCGGAGGTGGGAGGCCCGTGTGGGGTCCCCGTGGGGTTCAGGCTGGGTTGAATGGGGGTGCCCGCTGCAGGCTGGACCTTGGCGCTCAGATGCTGCCCTCGGGCGTCTCTGCCTGCCTAGGGGTGCTCGGTGGGTCTCAGCTGAGAGAGGAAAGGTGGTCCTGGTCCTGCCACAGGGCGGCCAGGCTCCTGCTGGGCTCGGAGTAGGTGGGAGGAGAGCAGTTTGGCAGCCCCTTCCTGGCAAGGCCGCAGGGAGAACCTGCGCCTGGTGCCCACTCCTTCGCCTCCCTCCTGTTCTGCCAGGGTTTCCTGGAGGGCGTCAGGAGTTCCGGGTCTAGGGGGGCAATGCCCTGAGACCGGGGGGACCTCCCCTTTCCACCCGACAGAATTCCCTCGGTCAGTCTGTGCCCCCGTCTTATTCCATCTGCACAGAGACGCTCCCGGTCAGCGACCCCCCAGATGTGCTGGACAGGCAGAAATGTCTGGCTGCCTTGGCATCCCTTCGGCACGCAAAGTGGTTCCAGGTAGGCACTTGACTCTCGTCTTGTGGTTTGAGAGTACCCCAGTTGCAGCATGGACCTGGCCCCTAGAGGCTGTCCATCCCGCGGCGGGTGGGTACTTGATCTTTGCACCTGCTTGGCCCCCTGAGGAGGCTGGGGACCATTGGGCTGGTGCCTGTGCTCTATGCTGGTGACCTGGTTGTGGCCGCTTGCACAGTGGCGTCACAGCCACACCAACGTGGTGGCGTCTGCGCTATAGTGCTGTGGTTTAATCCTACAGGCCAGAGCCAACGGGCTGAAATCTTGTGTCATAGTCATCCGGGTACTGAGGGATCTGTGCACGCGCGTACCCACCTGGGGGCCCCTCCGAGGATGGGTAAGGCACCTGGCCGCTATGGCCTCTGGGGCAGTGGGCACAGGGAGTCTGGGGGTCACCAAGCCCGGGGGACCCTGTCCCCAGCACTGCAGCACTGCTGCCCATTGGGCAGCCGCTGGGACCTCAGGGTGGCAGTTCCACTTCGGCTGGCCATGCACCGCGCCATCTCTGCGGCTGCTGTTGAGTGGGATGGTCCCCAGGGCCTCTCCTCACTGGCCCTCAGCCTGTCAAGCCTGGGCCTGCGGGGGTCGCGGGGCACCCACCTGGTGTCCGCTGACGAACCTCTTGCCTTGCAGCCCCTGGAGCTCCTGTGCGAGAAGTCCATCGGCACGGCCAACAGGCCCATGGGCGCCGGCGAGGCCCTGCGGAGGGTGCTGGAGTGCCTGGCGTCGGGCATCGTCATGCCAGGTTGGGGCCTCGTGCTGTGCAGGCGATAGGGCCAGGACAGGGACCCAGGCCCCGAGTGGGTTAGGGCAGCAGTGGCCCCGTGTCCCCCTAGGGCCGACGCATGTGACTCCCCTCGTGCGCCCTCCTCGCCAGCCCTGGGCCGGATCCGGGGCGGCGGTGACCCACTCCCCCGCGGGCGCCTCGCTCCGAGACCCTTGAGGGCGATTTCTCTCACGGCGGACGCCGAGTGGGTCACCGCGCGCAGCGTTCTCCAGAGCTGGGTGTGGATGGGGCGGGGGTTGGCACCTGGCCCCGCCGCCAGCATGCGTCCCTGAGGTGCTAAAGATGATCCTGCATATCTTCCTTGTTTCCTGCCTTCAGATGGTTCTGGCATTTATGACCCTTGTGAAAAAGAAGCCACTGATGCTATTGGGCATCTAGACAGACAGCAACGGGAAGATATCACGCAGAGCGCGCAGGTACCGTCGCCGCCGCCGCCGCCCTGCGCCCGCACCAGCCTACGCACGGGCCAGTCGCAGCGCAGGCTCGGGCCTGGTCCAGGGCGCCCCCACCTGGCTGCTGCTTTCCCGGGCGCCACGCGGGGCCGGCGCCTGCCTCGGCTGCCCGCTCGAGTGCCGCCTTCAGACACCGAGTGCGGAGAGCACCGCGCCGGGGGCCCTTTCCCCCGCAGGCCCCCCTCGTGGCTCCTGTGGCAACCGGTCCCCAGGTTGGGGTCTCCTGTGTACCTGTCAAGGCGGGGGGTCCCCGGCTGGTCTTCCCCCACAGCGAGGCTGGGCGCTGGCCCTCAGGCCTCCCCCTGGCTGCTGGGGGACCTCGGCCGATGGACGTAGGGGAGAGCAATAGTGGCCACCAGCTCCGGCCCTGGCAGCAGGCAGTAGTCAGCACAGCCCTGGGCGCGTGCGGGGCCGCTGCCTCAGACGCCTCTTCCCCTCCCCAGCACGCGCTGCGCCTCGCAGCCTTTGGGCAGCTCCACAAAGTCCTGGGCATGGACCCCCTCCCTTCCAAGATGCCCAAGAAGCCAAAGAACGAGAACCCGGTGGACTACACGGGTAAGTGCGACCGGGGGATGCGGCCCGGGCATGGGACGTGGCCCTGTGCTCAGCCCCTCGCCCTGTCCCCCCCCCCCCAGTCCAGATCCCCCCCAGCACCACCTACGCCGTCACACCCATGAAGCGCCCCATGGAGGAGGATGGGGAGGAGAAGTCACCCAGCAAGAAGAAGAAGAAGCTGCAGAGGAAAGGTGGGCGGCGCTGGGCTGAGTGAGGGGGCGCCCTCAGCCGGGCTCCGCGATTTCCTTTCCCGACACCCGCTTGTGTCCCCAGAGGAGAAGGCAGAGCCGCCGCAGGCCATGAACGCGCTGATGCGGCTGAACCAGCTGAAGCCAGGGCTGCAGTACAAGCTGGTCTCGCAGACCGGCCCGGTGCACGCCCCCATCTTCACCATGGCCGTGGAAGTGGACGGCAACTCCTTCGAGGCCTCAGGCCCGTCCAAGAAGACGGCCAAGCTGCACGTGGCCGTGAAGGTGTGTGTCCGCCGCCTGGGGCTCAGGAAACACCGCCACCCCCCGCGGCCTGTCTCCGCTCACGCTCACGGCCGCCGTTGTCTGGTGCAGGTGTTGCAGGACATGGGTCTGCCCACGGGCGCCGAGGGTCGGGATTCGAGCAAGGGCGATGACTCCGCCGAGGAGACGGACAGCAAGCCGGCCGCCGTGGCCCCGCCCCCGGTGGTAGAGACCATCTCCACGCCCAGCGCCGCCTTCCCCTCTGACCCCAGCTCCGAGGTGAGCAGGCGGGGAGCTGGCGGGGCCGTCGCGGAGCCAGGCGGGGCGGCGGGCCAAGCCTGGGGCTGAGTCGCTGCTGTGTGTCTCCTGAGAACGCCCAACAGCAGGGCCCCATCCTGACCAAGCACGGCAAGAACCCGGTCATGGAGCTCAACGAGAAGCGGCGGGGGCTCAAGTACGAGCTGGTGTCCGAGACGGGCGGCAGCCACGACAAGCGCTTTGTCATGGAGGTGAGCGTGAGCCCCTGGCCTGACTGGCCCGCCCCCGCCCCCACGGCCGGTGCCCCCAACCCACATGGTCTCTTGCAGGTGGAGGTGGACGGACAGAAGTTCCAGGGCTCCGGGTCCAACAAGAAGGTGGCAAAGGCCTACGCTGCCCTGGCTGCTCTGGAGAAACTCTTCCCCGACGCGCCCCTCGCCCTGGACGCCAACAAGAAAAAGCGCACCCCAGTGCCTGTCCGAGGGGGCCCCAAATTTGCTGCGAAGGTAAGGGGGGCTCGGGTCGTGGCCCACGGGGGCTTCCAGGAGCGAAGAGGGCAAACGGACCGTATCTCTGTCTCCCTGCAGCCACACAGCCCTGGGTTCGGCATGGGGGGGCCCATGCACAATGAGGTGCCCCCGCCCCCCAACCTGCGTGGGCGGGGCCGAGGCGGGAACATCCGCGGCCGAGGGAGAGGGCGAGGATTTGGTGGCGCCAACCACGGAGGCTACATGAACGCTGGTGAGAGGCCGGCGCGGGGTCCCCCCGGGGGGCCGTGGGCAGCCGGCACCTGCCGGTGACTGTCCTTGTCCTCCCGCCCTCCCTGCAGGCGCCGGCTACGGCAGCTACGGCTACGGCGGCGGCAACTCAGCCACGGCCGGCTACAGTAAGTGCCGCTGGGGGCGGACGTGGGGAGCGGCTGCGTGTAGCTAGAGCAGGTGGACCCAGACGCGGGGGGCGCAGTCTCCTCCAGATTAGGTCAGCGGCCCTGCACCCCAGCCCGCACAGACGCGGCTCCCGCGGCCCACTCCTGAGCGAACATTTTACATTTCTCTGCTTTGAGCCACGGCAGCATCGGCCCTGCGGAAGTGCTTTTCCCACGGGCGCCGCTCTGGTCTTGAGAAGGAGCCTTCACTGGGGGTTACAGGAGCAGAGAAATCTAAAACCCGAGTTTCAATTGTGGCGCTCTGTGCCCTTTTTCCAAAGAATTCTAATTTTTTTTCTCTGCTCTGTCTCCCCCTTTTGTAGGTGACTTTTTCACAGACTGCTACGGCTATCATGATTTTGGGTCTTCCTAGAGCATCTAAAAGTATTGCACACAAAAGCAACTTTTTACTCCAATTTTCTCGAACTCCAAAACCCAAAGTGTCCGTGCTGTGCCCTGTGCTTCACTGGGTTTCTCCTGCCGGCTCCCCACCGCAGCCCGGCCGAAACTCTTAGCCTGCAGAATTTAAGACAATGGCAGTTTTTATCGTGATTTGCCTTTGAACTGGGTCCCTTTGAAGTTCACACTAAGTGGAAAGCAATTTCCGAGCGAGCCTTTGTGTGCCGCCTTGCACAGAACCCTAGAGCCAGCGTTGGTCCGCGTCAAGGCAAAGCCCACGTTGCTTTTTATGGAAAGCATTGCTCTATCTAAGAGACAGACACGGATGCATTTTAACTCCCTTTGTCTTAACCCACAGCAGGTTTTGTATGACTTTTTACCCAATTCCCCAGTCGGGTGGAGCCTGACAGTCGCGGAGACCATCTCGCCGCCGGCCGACTCCAGAACAACGGCTTTTGCTATTTTTCGTGTTTTTTTTTTTTTGGTTTCGTTTTGTTTTCCCTTTTCCTTTTTTGTTTCTCATACGCATGTAAACACGTGGGGAACATGGGGCAATTGTATGTTGTGCTCAGTGACCCCCCGCCTTCTGTTACCCACGCTGGTGGTGGCTTGTCGGGGGACGTGCTGCCCTGTGGCTGGTTCTGCTAGAGGTGAGAAGGCGAAGGTGTCTGGCCGGCCTCCGGGACTGGCATGAGCAGGACCAGGCCTCCAGGGCTCGTGGAATCTTGCAAGTCGCCCTCGGTGTAGCTGAGGGGCGGGAACCGGAGTGGGGGGGTTTCACGGGCTGCCGAAAATCGGGGCGTGGGGAGGGCTTACCGGCTGACGTGGCTCTCCAGGCCCACGTCTCTTCGTCCGGGGGCCGCCTGGGGGCTGGGGGCGCCAGGCGGGTGTGCTGCTCTTCCCGAGACCCCTGTTTCCTGGGGTCAGCGGTCAAGAAGCCTGCCTTTGTGTTGACTTGCAAGATTGTGCGTTGATTCAGGCGAGCAACTGGTCAAACGGTTACTACGGCATTTGTTCCCGGAGGTTTGAAACAGTCAGTGAAACTTTTTCAAGAAAAAAACCACCTTGGATTGCATGATGTATTTTTATTTTATTTTATTTTTTTTAGAAAGTTATTGTTTGAGAATAATGCCTTTTTATACCAGGAAATAGTTCTCCTGAATGACGTTGAACACTTCCCCTCCCCTTTTATTTTTTTTTAATCAATACACGTTAAAGTAACAAGCCCTCCGTCCCTGGCGTCTTCATTCATTCCGTGCTTGGAGTGTGCGGCGGGCTGGCGGCGTGTCCGCTGCCTGCCTGTGCCGTGGCCTGCGCTGCGGTGTTTTGGCTTGTGACGGGCTCAGGGAGGTGGGACGCTGCTGCTGCCACTGGTCGGTCCTGGTCAGTCGCTGTGGCCCAGGACACACCGGTGCGGGGCGCCGTCCTGCAGGCGACCGGAAGGCCTGGTCGTTTGGCCCCGTCCAAAGCCCCGGGGGATCCTGGGGGCCCAGCGAAGCGGGGCCGGAAGAACCCGGCCGGGTGGCCGCCTGCATGGACGCCGCGGTGCCCACTAGTGTCAGGGGCCCAGCCCTGCTCCAGAGCCGCACCGGCCACCCCTCGCGGAGCCCCGGGACCTGCAGCGGCGCCGGAGAGCCACCTTGGCGCCGTCCTCCTGCTGGGCCCGCGCCTGGGGCTGCTCACCCGCCTGCGCTCAGGGCTCATCCCCTGGGACCAGCGTGCGGTGCTCCCCGTGGCATTCTCGGCCCCCCGCACCTGAGAATGTGGCGGCCGTACTGCACGCTTGCCAGTCCTGCTGGGGCCTGCCTGCTCCGCCCGGCGCTGTGCTGGGAACCGGCCGGCCCGCAGAGCACCTCGCGGCCAGGAGACGTCCCCGAAGCCCCCCGTGTGCTCGGGGGACCGAGGCGGGCCAGGCCTGGGCCGGCAGAGCTGTTCCCAGCACAGCAGGGCGTGGGGCCGGGGGCAGCTGCTTCTCGGGGGCTTCGCTTTTCCTGCCACTGGGACGTTGGGGTGCTGGGCTGCTGGTCATGATTGTCCTCCCATGTGGCACTGATCCCCCGCTGCGCTGCCGGGCATGGGGCCGTGGTGTCACCGGCCGCCAGGGAGTGGAGCTGCAGGCCAGGCTGCCCCGGCCGCGGGCTGGGGGTCAGCTCTGAGGCGTCCCACTGCCGCGCCCCCGTGCCCCGCTGACCTGCTGCCTTCCTGTCTAGGTCAGTTCTACAGCAATGGCGGTCACTCGGGCAGTGCCGGGGGCGGCGGCGGGGGCGGCGGGGGCTCCTCCAACTACGGCTCCTACTACCAAGGCGACAGCTACAATTCCCCCGTGCCCCCGAAACACGCCGCCAAGAAGCAGCCGCACGGGGGCCAGCAGAAGCCGGCCTATGGCGCGGGCTACCAGCCGCACCCCGGCCCGCAGCAGTCCTACAGCCAGAACCAGTACAGCAGCTATGGCCCACCTCAGGGCAAGCAGAAGGGCTACGGGCAGGGCGGCTACTCGGCCTGCAACTCCTACAGCTCCCCGGGCGGGGGCGGCGGCGCCGACTACAGCTACGAGAGCAAATTCAGTGAGTGCGCTGCCGCCCGGAGCCACCGCGCTGAGCGCCCAGGGTGCCTCCCCACCTGCCGTGCCCTAGGGCTGGGGAGCGAGCGCCGGGCGGCGCCCTGAACCCCTCTCTCTCTCCCCCAGACTACAGTGGGAGCGGAGGCCGGAGCGGCGGGAACAGCTACAGCTCCGGCGGCTCCTACGCAGGGTCCCACGGGGGCTACGGCGGAGGCTCTGGGGGCTCCTCATACCAAGGCAAACAAGGTGGGCCGTGGGGCCACACGCGGGTGCCCCCGCTCCAGCTCCGCTCGGGGGGTGCTTAAGCCAGACGTGTCCAATTTAGAAGCGCCCCTGGCTCGCGGCAGGCCCCGCTGGCCTTCCTGGAACCCTGTAGGGGTCCCTGAGTCCTGCCAGGAGGGACTGCTGAACAGTCAGGAGTTGGCCGTGAGCACCGTTGGGTGTCGACCCCCCCAGCTTCTAGGAGAACAAGAAATGAGCCCTCAGTGCTGCATGGGGTCTCCAGGCAGGAGCTCCGACCCGCGTCGGCCCCCTCGTCTGGAGCTCCAGGCCACGTCTCCCTGCTCTGTCTCCGGCCCCTCGTGGGCCCCGAGTCCGGCTTGACCGGTGACTGCCCGCGGCCAGGGTGCCGGGCCTAGCCTCTACGTGGTGCCCGCCCACCACCCTTGGTGACTGAGGCTGGAGCGCTGTGGCCGGGACCCCACCAACGCCGGGCTCTGATGTCCCCTCCTCCGTCTCTCTCCCCCAGGAGGCTACTCATCACAGTCGAATTACAACTCCCCGGGGTCAGGACAGAGTTACAGCAGCGCGCCCAGCTCGTACCAGTCGGCACAGGGCGGCTACGGCCGGAACGCAGACCACAGCATGAACTACCAGTACAGATAAAGGCCCCGCGGCCGAAGACTTGTACGTTCTGCACTTAGCCCGTTGTAAGATTCAGTTGTGTGCATCACAGTTAACATGTCCACTGGCCTGCCAGGCCCCCCGCCCCATCCCGTCCACGTTGCTGTGTTGTGCAGTGCCGCTGGCCACACCGTGGCCCCAGTTTAGCCGTGTTTGGGACTGCGCGTCTTCATGGTTGGTTAGTGGCCATTCCCACGTCGTCCAAGTAGAGTTTTTTGCGTTCCTGGAGTTCGGTGCCCTGCCCACCCACCTCCCCCCCAAACACAGCCCCCGCCTCCACCCGTCCATTCGCCATCGGTGTTGGTGTTAATAACTCGGTTTGTCTTTTCAATAGTCACGGAAGGGAACCTTCCTCTGTTCATGCTTTTGTGAAAGTGACTTCAATGAGCTTTTCTGTATTTTAATGCTTTAGTGTTTCCGTTTTATAAGTGAAGATTTTATTTTACAAACCAGCGGGCAAAGCAAGAGTGGGTCCGCTCCGTCAGGCAGTGTATCTGGATTAAGCTGAATGTAGACAAATAAAGACACGGAAAATTGCGCCCGTCCTGGCCTGGGTGTCTGCCCGCTGCGGCGCCCACCCGCCCGGCGTGTCCTCCCTCCACTCCAGCCCGGGGCAGTGCGGGCGGCGGGGCCAGCGCGCGGGGCCCCTGGGCCCTGGTGCTTCTGGGATCACCCCTGATTCAGGGGCACTGTGTTCTTGGCTCAGCGAACTCAGGATGAGTATTGACACACAATCACGCTCCTGTGAGGTGAGACCACCTTGTAGGCCGGCTGGCACCTCACTTGACAGGCTGGTCGGATTGGCACCCCAAGGTCCGTGAGGTTTTTCTTTATCCCCGCCAGGAGACCTGACTTGAATCCTTGGGGGGGGTCACTGTCCCTGGGCAGTGTTGCAGTGTAGCGGGGGGCCTGGTGATAACCTTGCCAGACCTGTGTCGGCCGAGCAGAGGCCTCAAACCCCACGGCTGGGTGGGGCCGGGACTCTGCTGGCCGGAACTGCCCTCCCGAGGCCGGAGATGAGGGGCACCCGGGAGGGGTGTGAAGCTCACCAAGGCCATGCCACCAACTTGAGGGGCTGAAGATGCACTCAGAGGAAACAACAAGGCTGGCATAGAGACGCCCCCAGAAAATGGGGCCCACCCCACCCAAACAGCGGCATTGGAAGCCAGATTGCACCGTGACCCCAAATGCCCTGGAGTGCAGAGATAGACTGAGACGGCTTCCAACGGACAACCCACATGGTCCCTCGGACGCACCAGCCACATGGCTTCAGCCTCGGAACCCGAAAGTGCAGGCCCCCAGGCCGCAGGCATATGGAGACTGGCCTGGGGTGCTGGGACTTGGTGCCTCAGGGGGGCCACATGGCCCAGGACGATCTCTGGACCTGAGCACCTAAGGCCCTTGGGGCTAACCTGCCTTGAGCATCGGATGGGGGGCTGCCTCCGGAGAGCTCACCCCAAGATCCTTAATTCTCTCTAAAGACCCGATTTCCAATAAAGTCTCCTTCACAGTACCAGCCGTCAGGACTTGGACGTACTGTTGGGGTGTGCTGGGTGGGGAAGGATGGATTCATCACGGGTGGGGGGTGTGGCTGAGATCACGTGTTGATGTCCCGAGCTGGGATTGTGGTAAGGACCTGTCCTCAGGTGACAGGTGGCAGGCACAGATCTTCCACTGACCACTCCCTATGGTGGGATTCAGGAAAGTTGTGGCTGGCTCATTGAGCACTGGAGGGCCTCTCAGATGCCAGCCGGTCACCCTTTCCCTCATGATGTCAGAATGGATCAGATTGGCAAAATAAACAGGACTCCGTGCCCTCGGAGGGAGGGGCTAGGTGGGCACGGAAAAGGAAGCTGTTGCCAGAGGCCCATGCTTGAGCCCCGGGAGACTGGGCACCGATGTCCTCAGACCTCAGGCCAGAAATGGGGGACAGATGGAGGGCTTCCCCCTGGTGGCTGCTGGTCACTGGCGTTGTGCCTTGTCTGGGAGACCTGAGATCTGGTGCCATCTTGTTGCTCCAGCAGAAACTCCTGGTCCAGGACACTTGGAGGCAGGGAGGTCTGCGTGTCCTTCTCAGGCTTTTATAAAATGATTCCACACAGAGGTTGGAGCCATAGTACAGCATTTGCCTTGCACACAGCCGAACTGGGTTTGAACACTGGCACGTGTTCCCCGAGCACTAGCAGGAGTAATTCCTGAGTGCAGAGCCAGGAGGAAACTCTGAGCACACCCATTTGCTAAGAAAACCCCAAAATTTAAAGAAATCTTCCCTACCCCCAAATAATCCCATAATCCTAATCGTAGCCCCAATCGTCTCAAAATAATCTATACACCTGGGGGGGGGGGTGCTGCATGCAGAACAAGGGCTCTGGCCTCGAGCTGCCTCCCCAGCCTATTTGGATAACTGGATACAATCCAGTGTGATTCCCTAATGCTGGGAGTGGGGCAGGGCACTTGCCATCCCATCCTGGAATGAAGGGAAAGGCTGGAAGCAGGGTTGCCTTGTCACACTGGGGCGTGAGGAGGGTGACAGAAGCTGCGGACTAGCCCTGTTAAAATCCCAAGTTCCAGGGGGTTAGTGGTACAGCCTAAGGGGCTTGCCTTTGTATCTGACAGGAGCATTTCATCTGGCCCCCAAGGAGGCCCTTGAGTATGCATGTAATAAATGGGCGGCTCTGGAAGTGAACAGCCCTGCTGCAGGCCTTGCTCACCCACCTGTCACCTCTCAGATCACTTAGATGAGGGTGTATGTCCAGCAGCCTCAGGGCCACAACTGTGTCCACAATCAACTGGGGTCCATTGCCGGTGGCTGTACTCAGGAGGAGGAAGTCACCGAGTCGTAAAAAGAAACGTCGGATGGCTGTGGGGACAGGATTACCAAGAGGAGGGTTTCCAGAAGGAGCCCTGGAAAAGTTAAACTGGAAGGAAAAGCCCCTGGGCTAAACCGGCTTCCAACAGGCGGCCCGGCCTGCAGGCAGAAAAGTAAAAGTGCTCCGTGTTGGAAAGGGACCAACTGTGGAGCTTCTCACGGATGTGGCGGCCGCTGGGCTGGGTGGGGAGCAGCAGACACAACCCAGCAGGGGAGACTGCGGTGCCGGGCGGTGTACTGGAGCTCGGCAGGAACAGCCTGGAAAGAGAGAGCCTTCTCCCTTCCACGCAAAAACGTGTCCCCGATCGCCTGGAAAGATGCAAGCAGGGGATTCTAGGAAAGGCGATTCTAGAAGTGATGCCCCGTTGTCTCAAGCCCAGCAGGGTCTCCATCCAGGAAGCTGGGTGGGTGACACCCTCCTGCGGAGAAAGGATCTTAGGACAGTGCCACCCTCTTCTAAATCAGCCACCTCCTCCCCACCCTCCCACCCCTCATTCCCTGGGTCTCCAAGCACCACTTTCAGCTATTTGAGGTCATCAAAACCCGCGACCTTCTCTGTGAGAGGTCTGGGATCTCTTACTAGGATTACTGTCGGCGGAATCTGCAGAGAGCCACCCAGACGCCGCGGGAGATCACCTATTCATCGTGCTTCCCGGGGTTCTCCTCTGGACCCACCCTACGGGCCGCACCTACGTGCCGCGCCCAATCAGCAGGTCTCGCCCCAGAGAGACATCTCGGCCCCGCCCTCACTAGGCTCCCTCCCTCTCAATTGGTTCGATAGCAGCATGGAACCTAGTCTCAGGCCACAGGCCCCGCCCCACTGATGGTGCGTCCCACGTGCTCTGCACAGCGATTCTTATTGGTCGTCTCCGCAGGCCCCGCCCCGCCCCCGGGCCGCTACCCTGGTCTCCAGGCAACGTGCGTAACGCTGTCCGCTGTGCTGAAGTCTAAGACTGAGCTGGTTGCACAATTGCTCCATGTCCAGTGGGTCTTTGTAGCGACGTCCCCCTTCCCAAATAACCTGTGCTCAGAAAGGAGAGATGGTGCAAATAGCCCAAACAGCTGAAAGGGGGGTGGAGCTCTGTAAGAAACCTGTAAATGAGACCTGAAATCCCGCGGAAAAACGGGCAAAAAAAAAGTTGAAGAGGCGACGCAACGGACTTCTCGACTCTACTCTTAGGAATTTCACCTACTTTGAATCCATACACTTTTTGGTGTGTGTGTGGAGGGGGTCACAACTGCCGGCGATCAGAACTAAGTACTCAGATGCTTTTGACTCTGTTCTCAGGAACCACTCCTGGCAGTGATCAGGGGACCATATGGGGTGCCAGAGATTGAACCTGGGTGGGCCACGTGTAAGGTGAGCTGGGGAGATCCTACCTTTACCTCTGTATGATCTCCCCAGCCCCCTTTTGGTGCCAAATCCAGGGATGCTTAGGGACTACACCTGGCTCTGTGCTCACCCTCCTGTTGGATTTGGGAGATCAGAGAGGGTGAGAAGAATTGAACCTGGGTTTGACACAGGCAGGGCAAGTAACTTACCCATTTACTATATCTTTGTTCTCTCTTCATATTACTATTATTATTTTTGGGTCATAGCCAGAAGTGCTCAGGGGTCACTCCTGGCGGTGCTCAGTGAACCCTATTGGATGCCGAGGATCAAACCTGGGCTGACCGAATGGAGGATCTGTGCCCTCCACGCTGTACTTTGGCTCTGGCCCCTCTTCATATTATTTTTGAAAATATGCTCAGGAGTTAAATCCAGCTCAGTGTTCAGGGCACCGTGTGTTCAGAGGAATTAGACTCAGGAATCCTGTTTGTAAAGCATATACTTTAGCCCTTTGAGTATTTTCTCCAGTCCTTCTTTCCTTTCTTCCCTCTTTCTTTTCTTTCTTTCTCTTTCCCCCATTGCTGGAGATGGAACTCAGAACTTCACAGAATTGAAGGATGTGATCTACAATTGGCATATCCTCTGCCCACAAAATAGAGAATCCCACAAGCTTTACTTATGGCTTTATTTTAATGAAGAAAATTTATTTAAGGGGCTGGAATGATAGTACAGTGGGTAGAGTGTTTGCCTTAAATGTGGCCAATCTAGGTTCGATCCCTAGCACCTCAAATGGTCTTCTGAGCCCACCAGAAGTAATTCCTGAGAGCAGAGTGAGGAGTTACCCCTGAGCACTACTGGGGTGGTCCAAAACCCAAAAATATTTATTTAAATTTAGGGATCAGGGATGTAACTGAGGGGTGGAATGTATCTCACCTATGTGAGGCCCTGAATTAGACCCCCAGTCCTTTAAAGAAAAAGACTTGGGGGGCTGGAACAATAGCACAATGGGTGGGGCGTTTGCCTTGCACGAGGCTGACCTGGGTTTGATTCCCAGTATCCCATATGGTCCCCTGAGCACCGCCAGGACGAATTCCTAAGTGCAGAGCAAAGAGTAACCCTTGTGCATCGCCAGGTGTGACCCAAAAAGCAAAGAAAGAAAGAAAGAAAGAAAGAAAGAAAGAAAGAAAGAAAAAAGACTGAGGTAGAGAGACAGAACAGGGATTAGGCACTCATCTTGCAGGTGGCTGTTTTGATTTCAGTACTGTATTTGGTCCCCCAAGCACTGCCAAGAATGATCCCTGAACACAGCTGGGCGTGACCCAAAAACAAGTCCTGCCAAAAATAATGACAGTTTAAAAAAAAGATAATAACAACAGGTTAGTGTAAATTCAACCACTTAGATGAAATGAATAGAAAAAAATATCTACGACCTGAATTGGGGGAAAAAAATTGAAAGTTGGACTAGTAGTCCCTTTAAAATCAGAACTAAACTTGTGGAGTTCATGCTCAATTCAATCAGCTTAATCAATGGCTGAACAAATAAAAGTACTCCTACATTATTTAAAAAAATAAAATCAGAACTAAACTTAAACCAGTTGAAGCCTGAGAAAGAATAGAGTGGGTAGAATATTTGCTCTGCAAGCAGCTGACCCAGGTTTGATTCCTGGCATCCTATATGTTCCCCCCCAAGCACCACTAGGAGTTATTTCTGAGTGCGGCAGAGCTGGGACTAAGTCCTTTGCAGTGCTGGATGTGACCCCAAAACCAAACACCAAAAATAAAACAAAAAATTCTTAAAGTAGTCTGCAAAAGATATTCCTGCAAGGAAAACTGCCATCACCAAGTGTTTATGTCTTTACAAGTGAGCTCAATAAAATCTTTGAAGACCAGATCATTCCAATTTTGCATCATTCCTTCCTGAACACAGAAAGAGGAAAGCTCTTGGTTTATCTGTAACAGTAAGCGTGATCTGAACATGAGACCAGGCAGAGACAGTGCGAGAAAGGAAAGTATAGATGAACATAATTCAAAACAAAAGTTCCAAATATGACTCAACATGTTATGAAATGTCACAGTGTCTATTTATAGGAGAATGTCAGTGTCAAGCTGGGTTTATCTCAAGAATGGAAATAAAATTGATATATTAATCGAGAACACATGCTGGGCTGGAGAGAAGTTCACAAGGCAGAACAACATACTTTGCAGTTCAGAATCTGGGTTTGATTCCTGGTACCACATGGTACTGCTGGTAAAGTGCCCGGAGTGGCCCCTGAACACTGCCTAATGTAACCTAAAAACTCAAAGGCAGGGAGCTGCAGCGATGGCACAGTGGGTAGGACATTTGCCTTGCACGCAGCTGACCCGGGTTCGATTCCCAGCATCCCATATGGTCCCCCGAGCACTGCCAGGAGTAATTCCTGAGTGCAGAACCAGGAGCAACCCCTGAGCATCACCGGGTCTGACCCAAAAAGGAAAAAAAAAAAAGGCAAAACAACACAAACAAAAAAACAACACCTTATCAGGATAAAAATCTGCGCGTCCACATTTCTGGGTACATGGGAGTTATATGTGCTTTGATGCTGAGGAATCATTTTTTCTCGTGCTCGGAGGCACCATACCCCGTGCAGTGATTTGAACCTGGATCAGCCGGCCGTGCTATAAGTAAAATGCCTTACCTGGCTCTCTCCAACCCCCTGCATGGAGTTTGAAAGCTGAGCCACCAGGATTTACTGACACATCAGACCTCTAGGACTGTACTGACATTTCAACCGACTGATGCATAAGAAATCCTAAAGGATTTCTATGTTACCACCAAGAAGGCTGTGGAGGATCAAATAGGCAAAATTGGTGGTGTTGAGGGCGGAAGGTGGGGGCGGGGAAGTGCGTTATCAACAGTTCTGCTCCAACATCAACATTCAGGGAATTCAGAAGACAGGGTTATGCATAAAAGCTGGGCACGGTTAGGCTGGAGAACTTCTCAGGGGGCTAAGTGGTATGCAGGACTTAATTTTTGATACCCCTTGAGTCTCCAAGCACAGCTAGGAGGGATTCCCCTAGCTCTGAGCTTGGAGTAATACCCTCATCCCCCCACCATAAGCGCCTGCAATGGCCTCCAGGAGCGCCTCTTGGGACGGCTTGACTGTTAGAGCCCCCTTGAATATTCACCATCAGGGTGGGAAATGAGTCATCACCACAATTCCCCGGAGGTTCCCTAGTCTTGCCAATGAGTTTTAGGCCGGTTGTCTGATGGGAACGATTCCGGAGCAACGGCGCCCTCTGCTGGTTACTACAGATACGGGGTCCATTTGCATCCGTAATAATAACGGTTTTCAGATGTTATGATTCTCGGGCAAACACAGACAGGGTTGAGTAAATCACAGCCCTCTCCTCGCTGCGAGACGTGGAGGCTGGGTCTAATCAGGAATGTGCACTGAATGAGTGAAGAAATAAACGGCTGCAGATTCTGGTCCTCAGTCTCCCCTTCTGTGAAGTGGGATTGCTGCTCTCGTCGAATATATTCGTGCCCATTTGCGTTCCGGTTCCTGTTCCCAGTTCAGGGCACAGCGTTCTGTACATCCCTCCTCATTCTGTCGCCACGGCGTTTCTGACATCGAGGCACTCTCCTTTGGGCCGCATTTGATCGGAGAGAATGAGAAACATCATCGCCTAGAGACTGACGGAGGAGCAAGACCGAGGGAGGGAGACGATTCAAAGCCACGGCAATTCGGATTTTCCGCGGAAGCGTGCAGCAGGAGCCAGAGAACTAGGCGCGTCGCGGGGACCAGCGCGACGTGCCGGCCTCCGTTGCCATGGTGCCATGACGCGCCTCCCGGCGTCTCGCGTCACGTGACGCGGAGCAATATGGCGCCGCCCAGGATGCTCCAAGGAACCACGTGGTTCCGGCAACCAAGATGGCGGCGGCGGCCAGTCCCACTTCCTTCGAGTCCGCCGCCCCGCGGATCCTGCGGCTGGTGGCGGAATGCAGCCGCTCCAGGGCCCGGGCCGGCGAGCTGCGGTTGCCGCACGGGCCGGTGGCCACTCCAGTGTTCATGCCAGTGGGCACACAGGCCACCATGAAGGGGATCACGACCGAGCAGCTGGACGCGCTAGGCTGCCGCATCTGCCTGGGCAACACTTACCACTTGGGTCTGAGGCCGGTGGGTGCGCTCTGCAGGGGCGGGGCGGTGGGGGAGCACTGGGGCATCCCTGACGCTCGGGCACAAGCGCCAAAGGTCAGCCGACCGACGCATATGAAGGGCTCCACTTGGGCCACTGGAGGGAAGGAAGGGAGTCACTTGGGTGGCGCTTACCTTTCACTACATCCTTTTCCCACCCCCGGCCCAGGGCCCCGAGCTGATACAGAAAGCGCAAGGCCTGCACGGCTTCATGAATTGGCCCCATAACCTGCTAACGGTGAGAGGCAGTCGGGAGGGTCCTGGGAGGTGCAGAGTCCCCGCCCCAGGGCCCTGAACAGCCCCGCCTCCTGTTCAACCCACAGGACAGTGGCGGCTTCCAGATGGTGTCCCTGGTGTCGCTGTCCGAGGTGACGGAGGAGGGCGTCCGTTTCCGTTCACCCTACGACGGCGAAGAGACGCTCTTGACTCCGGAGCGGTCCGTGGAGATACAGAACGCGCTAGGTGAGCTGTCTGGGGTGCCGGCGGGGGTACCCCTTTCCTGCCTGGGAGGGGAACGTGGGAACGTGGAGGGGAAGTGGGACATAGCCCTGGCGTGCTGAGTGTTTGTGAACCCTGGGGTCACTCCTTGGCCCGGGGCTCATTTGTATGGGGACTGTTCATTTCATTTCATTTCATTTCATTTCATCATCCTGTTATTCGTCGATTGCCTCGAGCAGGCCCCAGTAACGTCTCTTTCATCCTAGCCCTGAGATTATATTCAAGGCTCTTTAGGAGAATGAGACCCATCATTGTTACTGGTATTTGGCATATTTGGTACGCCACGGGGAGTTTGCCAGACTCTGCCCTGTGGGCAGGCTACATTCGATAGCCTGCAAGTTTGTCCAAAGTAGGAATGAGACAATAAGATGTCATAAAAAAAAAAAGTTCTGATAAGATGTCGCGCGGCCCCAAATGCGGCCGCACGGTTCCGGGATCTGGATTTTATAGTCTCTGAGTCTTGGCCGCTGATGGGATTACATGGCGCCAGGGGGCCAGGTGGTGGGTGTGACCCCCGCCTACTGGAATTTGGAGGATCTGGGTGGAAGATGCTCGACTCCAATCCGAGTAGGCTTGGAGGTCTCGGCCCGGAACCCGCGTGGCTTTGTCCCTCTGCCAGTACCTTCATGTGTGCGGAGAGTGGTCTCAGCATGGTGGTGGCTGGTCCTGGAGGTCTTCGGCTGCTGGAGCCCTGGTCGGGGCGGGGAGGAAAGCTCAACCCGCTCCCCTCCAAGGGGTCCCGGGAAGGAACACCCAGGCGCGGGGGCAGAAGACTGCACTGTTCTCGTCCGGGATCTGGATTTTATAGTCTCTGAGTCTTGGCCGCTGATGGGATTACACGGCGCCAGGGGGCCAGGTGGTGGGTGTGACCCCCGCCTACTGGAATTTGGAGGATCTGGGTGGAAGATGCTCGACTCCAATCCGAGTAGGCTTGGAGGTCTCGGCCCGGAACCCGCATGGCTTTGTCCCTCTGCCAGTACCTTCATGTGTGCGGAGAGTGGTCTCAGCATGGTGGTGGCTGGTCCTGGAGGTCTTCGGCTGCTGGAGCCCTGGTCGGGGCGGGGAGGAAAGCTCAACCCGCTCCCCTCCAAGGGGCCCCGGGAAGGAACACCCAGGCGCGGGGGCAGAAGACTGCACTGTTCTCGTCCTGGGGACTGTTCAGGGAGAAAGATATTGGACGGGTAATCTCTGAAACACAGCCAAGCTGTGTTTTTGTTTTGGGTGGGTGACCATGTGGCTTTGCGTTCAGGGATTACTCAGGATTTGGGGGACCGTAGGTGGTGCCATGGATCAAACCCAAGTAGGCTGCATGCAAGACAAATGCTCTCCCTGATGCTCTATGGCTCTGACCCACCTGGTGTTTCTTGTAAAATTCTGTATGAATAATGGGAGGCAGAGCTAAGGCGCCCGATTCCCAGAGGAGAGGGGCCAGCTCCTCACCAGGAGAGAGGCCTACCCCAAAATTGTGATCTTGTGTATCCCACCAGGCTCAGATATCATCATGCAACTGGATGACGTGGTGAGCAGCACCGTCACTGGGCCTCGAGTGGAGGAGGCCATGCACAGGTGTGGGGTCACAGGGGCAGGGTCACAGGTGCACAGGCTGTCTGCATATAAGTGTGCCCATGCCTTCCACAAGTACACCGGGCAGGGGATCCTGTGCCCTCCACCCCAGCCCCAGGACAGTGACTGTTCCCCTCTCACAGGTCAGTCCGCTGGCTGGACCGCTGCATCGCGGCTCACCAACGGCCGGACAAGCAGAACCTCTTCGCCATCATCCAGGGTGGACTGGACGCTGATCTCCGGACTTTGTGTCTAGAAGGTGGGAAAGCTGTGCATTGGGTGCCAGGGCACAGCATAGGGGTGGAGGAGAGTGGGCCTGTCCCAGTCTCAAGCACCCCACCTGGGCTGGTCATGAAGAGTGCCGGGATGGTGCTTATCCACGATGGGCTTCTGGGTAAAATGGCAGGAGCAAAAGGCCTGGGGTCGTATGGAGAAAACAGGAGACGGGAAATCTCTGTTGTATTGTGCCTGGTACTAGCTTTCCTGTTGAAGGAACCACTAGGTTACTGACCGGAAATGTAGGGGTAGCTTCTTAGTCACTCCCCCAAGCCACAAAGCTGGAAGGGACTGGGGTGTAGGCACACACCTTGAGGGCAGTGCAGCTTATAGAGGCCCCCCGGCCCCCCATCTGCAGCACTTCAGGCTTGTCCTGAGCACAGCTCGGGCTGAGTATCCCAGGGTATGGTCCTGAGACAAAAAATCTGGCTGAGGCGGCTGGAGCGATAGCACAGCGCCTTGCATGCGGCTGACCCGGGTTCGATTCCCAGAATCCCATATGTTCCCGCAAGCACTGCCAGAGTTAATTCCTGAGTGCAGAGCCAGGAGTAACCCCTGAGCTCTCACAGCCCCAGATGTGACCCCAAAAGCCAAAAAAGAAAAAAAGAAAGAAAAAGAAAATCTGGCTGAGTCTGAATTCCAAGCTTTCACCTGTGCCCTGTGGGTTTCAGCTCAGCCTGGAGCAGTTCTCAGGATGGACTGGGGGTGAGGGTGGGAGTATCTGAGTCGCGTCTATGGGGGCCAGCAAGGGGAGGGACAAAAGGAGGGGGCCAGAGAGATAGAACAGCGGGTAGGGCGCTTGCCTTGCACCTGGCTGACCGGGGTTCCATCCCTGACACCCCATAGGGTCCCCTGAGCTGGCCAGGAGTAAGCCCTGAGCACTGCATGGTGGGGCTCCTAGGCAGAAACACAAAGGGAACCCAAGGTGGAGGTCCATTCCCTTTTTCCTTCCACCCCTCCCCCCCAGAGATGACTCGGAGGGACGTGCCTGGCTTCGCCATTGGGGGCCTGAGCGGAGGCGAGAGCAAGGACAAGTTCTGGAGGATGGTGGCGCTGAGCACCTCCAGGCTGCCCAAGAGCAAACCCCGATACCTGATGGGGGTCGGGTAGGTGGGGAGCGAGCACAGGAAGGGTTCCCGGGCTGGGGGAATTTGGGGAGGGCATGAGGGCATTGCCCGTGAGGTGTTCCTTTGGGACTGGGGTTCACCAGGAGGAGAGCCGGGTGTGAACAGGACCCCAGGCACCCCGCGCTGCCCCTGTCGCCCCCGCTGCAGCTATGCTACTGACTTGGTGGTGTGTGTGGCCCTCGGATGCGACATGTTCGACTGCGTTTTCCCCACGAGGACCGCGGTGAGGCCTGGGCCAGGGAGGTGGGGGCGGCCACGGGGGGGCGGTGCTTGAGGCTCTCCCCCTCCCCTTTCTCCACTCAGCGCTTTGGCTCCGCCCTGGTGCCCACCGGAAACCTGCAGCTGAAGAAGAAGCAGTACGCAAAGGACTTCGGGCCGCTGGACCCTGAGTGTGACTGCCCCACCTGCCACAAGTAGGGGAGATCGGGCGTCTGGGGAGGGCCTGGCAGGGGGGCGGGGCTAGAGGTTTCCCCGCTGAGCCTTCCCCCACTTGGTGCCCTCTCAAATCCTAGGCACAGTCGCGCCTTCCTGCACGCGCTGCTGCACAGCAACAACACGGCAGCCCTGCACCACCTCACGCTGCACAACATCGCTTACCAGGTGCGCCCCAGGGCGGGGCGGGGCTCCTGAGGGCGGGACCGGGGCCTGGAGGAGCAGAGCGATAGGCGGGGCTCTTGGAGGGGCGGGGCTTCCGGACGGGTCACACCGCCGCCTGTTTTCGCGCTGCAGCTTCGTCTGATGAGCTCCATCCGGGCCAGCATCGTGGAGAAGCGCTTCCCCGATTTTGTGCGGGACTTCATGCGCACTATGTACGAGCACCCCACCCTCTATCCCACCTGGGCCACGGAAGCCCTGGCCTCGGTGGGCATCACCCTGGACAGAGCCGATGGAGCCGACACGGGACCGCGGCGGGAGGGAATGAATGGAAGAGATTGAAGATTTCTTTTTTTAAAAAAGTTCTTTGAGCTTGTCTGAGCTTTCTCCGGGCGGTGGCCTGGCCTGGCTTGCTGCCCTTCCCGGCCTGAGTGCCGCTGGGGTCATTCCATTCACGTGCCCCCTGCCTCCCCAGCCCGTGGCGCCGAGCCTGGGGACTACAGCCTTTTCCCTTTGCCCCGGGTTTCCCAGACATCCTGGGTGTGGGAGGCTTAGGCCCAGTCCCCTCGTTTTACAGGTGCGGAAACAGATCCCGGAGTTGGGGTGGTGCTTGTAGGAAGAGACTGGCGCCAGTGCGTATGCTCAGTTCTAGGACTAGGGCACATGGTTTCTTTCTGGTGAGCTGGGACCCCCACTTGAGGTTGTGGAACTGAATGTGGGGCAGGGTTGCCATAAATTGGGTAACGGTAAAAGGCTGATAGCTGATAGCCAAAATTCGTCCAAAAGCAGCCTTGGAATGAATCAGGTGTTTCTGGCAACACTCGCATTTCACAGGAAAAAAAGGGGCCGCGGGTGGAAAAAGTTTAACATAACCCTGATCTGAGACCATGCCATGCACGGCTCCAAGCTATCAGTTGTGTTTGATTTTGTTTCGCTGGTTGTGGCTCTGCTTTTCCTGGGCCTTGTTTCTGACTCAGCAAGGTGCCAGGGATCAAACTCTGACCTAGTGCATGCAAGGCACGCCCCTAAGCCCATCTCGATGACTCAGGAGACTTGAGACTTAAGGATGCACGGAGGGGCCAGAGCTATAGTACAGTGGGTTGGGTGTTTGCCTTGCACGCAACCGACCCGGGTTCAATCCCAAACATCCCCTATGCCCCCCTCCCCCCTCACAGCACCTCTAAGCAGTAATTCCTGAGTGTAGAGCCAGGAGTAAACCCTGGGGGCAGGGAGAGGTGGGGGGAGGAAGCAAGCTGAGAGTAGGGAAGCCATGGGGTCATTATGCCCAGCAAACAGACCCAGGACAGACCCCAAACATGCAAGTAACAGACAAGGTGCTCGCAGGAATTAACGGTTTAGAGGTGGAACAAAGCAAGGATGGGCCAGAAGGAGCTCAGTTGGCTGAGCAGGTACAAAAGTAGCTTGGCAGTCACAGGGACCAGCTTCCATGAGTGACTTTAAATGGTCCCCTGAGTACAGGAGATATTCCCCAGCAACTCCAGGTGAGACCTCCCTCACAGCGGGTAGGGCCTTACAAGCGGCCAACATGGCCGACCGGAGTTCGATTCCTCCGCCCCTCTCGGAGAGCCCGGCAAGCTACCGAGAGTATTCGATATGCCAAACACAGTAACAACAAAGTCTCCAATGGAGACGTTACTGGGCCGCTCGAGCAATAAATAAGTAGGTGCCACAATATCAGGAACAAAAATGCAGCTGTTTGAATCAATTTATGGATTCTAGAATTTCCCTAGGTGTTATTTACCATGAGAATGTGTTTCCTTTTGCTTGGAGACCACAACCTTGGGGTCTTTTCAGCGTCTTGGGGAGAATGGGTGCCAGGGATGGATCCTGGGACTCCTGCCGTCCAAGCTCTAGCCTTCTTCTCTGAGCCATTTCCCAGACCTGGGATCCTCCATTTCTGTTGTTTCTCTATTCTTTTTTTTGTTTATTTGTTTCTCTATTCTTTGTTACTGTCTCCCAGTCAGACAGCTTCCCCCTCATTGCTCCTGGCTTCTTGTTGAACCACTACTCTCTGACCGTTTGTGCCCAAAGATACCAGCTTCACATCCTTAACGGATGTGAAGTCCCGGATTCCTTCCCCTGAATCCCCAGATCCTGCAGGAACAACGGGTGCTCTGAAAGAGCGTGATTTGCCAAACTACGAAGAGCTGACATCACCCTTTTCAAGGGGCTTGGGAGAGTTTGGTTGCACTCGATGGTGCTTTTTGTTTGTTTGTTTTTTGGGTCATACCGAGCGATGCTCAGAGTAATTACTCCTGGCTCTGCACTTAGGAATGACTCCTAGCGATGCTCAGGGGAATCATATGGGATGCCGGGGATCTAACCCAGGTTGGCTGCGTCAAAGGCAAACGCCCTCACCACTGTGCTATCGCTACAGCACCGCGCTCGGTGGTTCTACTCCTGGGCTTGTGCTCGGTGGTCACTCCGTGTTGCTCTGGGAACCAGAGGTCCTAGAAACTGAATCTCCGGCCCTGAATGCAACGCATTAGCTCAGGCTCTGTGAGCTGCAGGTCCCCCGTAGAATGTTGATCCCGCTCAGAATGTTGGTGCCTAATACGAGCCAAGAGGCATCCGGGGAGTTGTAGTTTCGGTAGAAATCCGGAACTTGAGGAGTGATTACAGTCACCCTGCCTCACCACGAGATGTCGCCCTTCGGTATGTATGGTGGGCCTCACGCTGTACTCTGGAAAACTCCAATGGACAAACAACAGTCACGAGTGAAACCAGAGCTACTTTGACCGACAGATACACTGCTCAATCAGAGACGTCATTGTACATAAAAGTCCGCCTACTATCTGTTTATTGGCTAAAAGAATGGAATGAGGTTTCTGTGAGCCAATGGGAGAATTCTAGGAAACTAGGCAGTCAAGTGACCAGGACGGGTTCCAAACATCATTGGCCAGCTTTCGTTGACTGGCGGGCCTTGCTGCCAATAAGACCGGCGAGCTTGCCAGCCTCCTGGGAACTCCCCCACAGTGGGCGGAGTCAACGTGCCTTTCCCTGAAAGGCCGCCTCCCGGCCTTGACAACTCGCTTCGCGCCACCATTGGCTTTTGCGCAGAAGCGACACTTACGGCGTCCAATGACTGCGCAAGGAGGCCCCCCGGGGCGAGGCTCACTCCGCGGCAGACCCGTTCCTCGTTCCCATTGGCTCCTGAGCTCGAGCGGCGGCGCGGCAGGCCAATAGGAAGCGGCGCGAGGGCGTGGGGAGCAGCCCCCGGAGCCCGGGCGGGAGGTCGCTCGGGTCGGGTGTCGCCTGAGAACCGGATGAGGCGGCGACCGTGAGGCCGAGCCGGGAGCGGGCGTCGCGCCGAGGGCCCGGGCGGCGGGGAGCAACGGCCGCGGACGGCGCGGCGGGGCCGGGTGGCGTGAGGGCCAAGAGGCGGGCGCAGGGAGCGCGGGCCGCTCGGGCCGGGGGGCCGCCGGCGCCATGGGCAACCGCGGGATGGAAGAGCTGATCCCGCTGGTCAACAAGCTGCAGGACGCCTTCAGCTCCATCGGCCAGAGCTGCCACCTGGACCTGCCGCAGATCGCCGTGGTGGGCGGCCAGAGCGCCGGCAAGAGCTCGGTGCTGGAGAACTTCGTGGGCCGGTGAGCGCGCGGCGGGCGGGCGGGCGGGCGGGCGCGGCGGCGGCGGGCGGGCGCCGAGGGCGGCCCGGGAATGCGCGCCCTGCGCCTGCGTGCCCGGCCCGGGGCGGGGGCGGGCCCTGCGGGTCCTGCGTGTCCCCTTCCCGGTCCCCGGCCCGGTCCCCGCCGGCTGACCGGCGCCCCGCGCCTCCCTGCCGCCCGCCTGGGCTTGTCCGCCTGCCGGGGCCCCCGCCCTCCGCGCCGTCGGTGGGGCGCCCCTCGGCTTTCCGACCCGTCGCCCCCGCGCGGGACGCGGAGAGAAGCCCCCTGCGCGCCGCCCCCCGGAGCGGCCAGGGTCTGTGAGCGCCGGGCCCGGCCCCCTCGGTCCGCGCCTCTGACAGATGGGCGCGGAGGCTCCTGCGGGGCGGGGAGATGAGCCCTGCCGCCGCCCGCCTGCACTTGGGAAGTTTCTGTCGGAAACTGTGGCCAGCGCGGACAGAACTGGGCCGTGGCCTGCAGCCCCGGCTCGTGGGGTTCCGAAGGGAGGGGTATCTGCTTCTTTTCATTTATGGTTTTTGTGGGGGGGCTGCAGCGATAGCACGGTGGTAGGGCGTTTGCCTCGCGCGGCCGACCCGGGTTCGATTCCTCCGCCCCTCTCGGAGAGCCCGGCAAGCGACCGAGAGTGTCTCGCCCGCACAGCAGAGCCTGGCAAGCTCCCCGTGACGCGTTCGATATGGCAAACACAGTCACAACAAGTCTCACGATGGAGACGTTACTGGGCCCGCTCGAGCAAATCGACGAGCAACGGGAGAACCGTGCTACAGTTTGGGGTCTTAGCCGGCGTTGCTGGGGCTGACTCCTGGCTCAGTGCTCAGGGGCCCCTCCCGGCAGTGCTAAGGGCTGTCTGGGGATCGATTCTCAGCCTCTTTCTCTCCTTGGCCCCTTCCCGTTTTGTTTCCTTCCTGTAACCCTCCCCCAGGTCCTAGAGTCTCTTGCTGTGCGCCCCTCCCTCCCCCCCCCACCTCTCCCCATGTTGGGAAACGCTGGTCGCTTAGTTTCCCAGAGTGAATTCACCCTCCTGCCCACCTCACCCTGCGCCCAGCGAAATCTGGGGGCGCTGTGATCGCCTTGGAGGCCAATGGGGAGGGGCACGTCGGATGGTTCACTTCAGGAAGGCCAAAGATCGGGGTAGGGGGCAGCTGAATGGGTTTTGCTCCTGAGAAGGGGGTGCTGAGCCAAGTCGGGGTTCAGGACCCTCGGGGCGCCCTCCGGTTCCGCAGCTGGTTTCTGGCGGGAGTGGGGGAGCAAGGAAGGACTTGGGGCAGAGTCTAGCGTGGAGTTAGGGGCGGACTCTGGGCTGGGGCTCTGTCCAGCACGGCTGCACACTGCCCGCCCCAGGTCTCGCTGTCGTTGCTGTGTCGCAGTGTCCCTTCCCTCACACGGGCTGACCCGTCACCCCAAGGCTGATTGGAATGTGGGTGTGCTCTTGAGGCCGGAGCCGGATCACCCACATAGTACAGAGCAGTCCCCAAGGCCCAGAGCTGCTCTGGGCAATCGAGTGAGGACTTTTGCCGTGCTGTCGGGGGGGGGGGGGGGGGGGTTCAGTCTTCCTCACCTGCTTCCCCCTAGCCTGGCTGTAGCGGCCCCCTCCTCCGGGAAGCCTGCAGTGCTTGCTGCACCTCCAGCACCCGATTCAGGGCCCTTTGCGCAGAGGGGAGAGGAACGGACTGCCTGGACCAGGCCTGGCCGCCTCGCCAGCTTTCCTTGCATGTATCTGGACGAACAGCGCCGCTGAGCACTGGTTCCCAGGAGCTG